GTGACATTCATTTTGCACAACCCCAAATTGTCACTGTATTATGCATTTTAAGGTAATTAATTATATTTCCAATTATGTACTACACGCAAGCGTTCTTCCTCGAGCGCACAGGAACGCGAGGACTCAACAGACCACCGTTCCACGCAAGGCACTTTGGGACATAAAATACAAGAATTACACGATTAAAAAGGTGGTAAATAAATAATATGATTTACATAAATTATAAAAATATTTAATTTTATGCGCACTCATAAAAATAAGGCTAGCTTTTTGAAAAGTACATAAATACACCCTGAATTATATTTCTACTTATATTTATAGTAAATCCAGAGTAATCTTTATCAAATTAGAGTTACTCCGGATTTAGTATAAATTTAGAGTGCATTTACTTTTCAGAAGGGTACCATTATTTTTAAGAGTGTACACATTTAATTTGTTATCTTGGCAGGACACCGTGATCAGGGTATGCTACCCCGGGTTTTTGGGGTATTGGGGTTTTGGTGGGTTTTGGGGTAGCAAATATGAGCAATACCCACGGGTAGTCGGGGTAGTCGGGGTTTTCAACCTAACAAAGCGACTAGATGCTGAAATAATATTGCCGCTAACTTTGTTCATCACCGGCTGTTGTTTTCCGTGTTTATTTTAATTTTTAATTATTTACGTATTCTCAATTGTTATTAAACATGCCTCGGAAACGAAAAATTTCGTCAAATGATAAGTTAACTGCCTCTCAAATTGTGGAGGTGTTGGAAGGTCAGCATTTTATAAATACATTTAAATAATTCTATTTCAAAATATCTATCGTTTAACTAAATAAAATTTTAACTAGAATCGCAAAATGTGGATGAGCAAGGGCCGCTTGAAATTGACGATACAATTGACATCCTACCAATTAGCCAATTCACTTTGGGATTGGTTTCACCTGGTAGAATATCTTAATAAATAAATAAATTACTAAATCATATCGCATGTAAATAAACACGTTAATAAATTTTTAGACCAAACGATTCAAAGCGGAGTAGATGAAGACCTTGAGGACGTTGGGAATGTAAATAAGGATGGTATGTTGGAATTTTAATAGTACGACCCGAATAATTGACTAAATTGGCTCATTATTTTTTTAAGATTCGACAGATAAAGAAATACCCAGTGATTCAAGCTACCAGCCAGCATCTTTCCTATAGCAAGAAAAGATTGATCCGGACCACCCTGCAATTGAAATATCGGATGACGAAGAAACTGCGGATGAACCTTCTCTCCCAAAGAAATCTAAACCGGCTTCGGTAAGTAACAGTAATCAAAAATCCAAACCGGAAGTTCGAGAGACAAAAAAATCGCTTTTGTTCGCATGATTTGCACAATCGCATGATTTGCACAGTTTGAAGAGATGATTTTTGTGATTGCGACCGTTCTAATAATTTAGTTCTTTATAACCAATACATGTACAAGATTTTCGTAATTCGAAAACATTTTTTTAATACTTCGAGAAGATTAATTTTTTAAGCTTAAATTTGTATATTTATTTCGAAAAATGCTCTTGAAAAAAGCTGTTGAGAAAAAGCCACGAATCTTATGGCAGTTAAAAATCGTTTGCGACTTTCAGTCTCTCCCGTTCAGGCACAAGGCGGAGCAGAATCATATTATTAGAAATGTGGCGCTCTACAAGTTGTGCAAATCTTCCGAACAAAATCGATTTTTGTTCTCTCTTGGTTTTGATTATTGCTGCTCTCGTCAATTTTCAAAATAACTATTTTCACACATAAATCAAATTAAATTTATTATGCTCAGCAACTAATCTCTGGTCCTAATTGCAGGTAAAAAAGAAGGGGGGAAAGCAGAAAGATGATGTATGGGGATGCTTCTCTACAACAAAATTAAACAACAAAATAAGTGCGTCTTGTAAAAAATGTGGGGAGACATTTGAGTGGGCTAAAGTAGAAAGACTTAAGAAACATTTGCATGTTTGTAACAAACAAACAGATACGCCTGTGAATCAACAAATTCCTTCGACTCATCAAAACGACATGCCTTTTTTCCTACACGACTCGGAAAATCCAAGTGTATCAACCGAAGTAAAAACGCAACAAAAACTACCGGCATTGTTTACAAAATTGACTAACGAAAAAGATAAAATCGACATGCAAGTGGCAAGATTTGTCTACGCATGTAATCTTCCTTTTTCGATTGTAGATCATCCGGAATTTGTGAAACTGACTTACTTATTGAAGCCTAAACCTCCAACAGCGAAAACAATTGGTGGATCACTTCTGGACAGAGTTTATTCCGAAATTTCAGAAAAGTCAAAACTAACTGCGAAATCAAAATTTGCAACACTCATGCAAGATGGTTGGAGTGCTATTCAGCAATCCCCCATAATTTCCCATTGCATAAATGTTGAAGCAACAGAGTCAATTTACGTAAATGCAGTGGCCACGAAAACCGAAACCAAGGACGCTAAGTATTGTGCACAGCTTGCCATTGAAGCAATTGAAATAGCTGAAGAAAAATTTGAATGTCATATTGGAGCTGTAATAACTGATAACTGTGCCACCATGCTATCCACGAGAAGAAATATTGAGGAACTTCGACCAGGAATTTGGACATATGGGTGCAACACGCATTACTTGAATCTCGTAGGGAAGGAGGTTGTATCAATTGATATGCTAAAAAAAGTGAAGGAAGTTCAACACTTTTTTCGCGACAAACAATATCCACGAGAAACTCTTAAGATATCTGACGGCCTACAACCTGTACTTCCATGTGAAACAAGATGGAACACACAATTCTATTGCTTACAAAATTTTATCAAAAATCACTCTAAATATTTGGATATTATTAAACACCCGAAATGTGGAGTCAATAAGGAGATTTCTGCCACACTAACTGATCTATGTTTCTATAAATCTGCGGAAACCGTGATGGAGGCCATGCTACCGATTGTTGATGCAATTTCAAAAGTTAGTTCCTTGGTTTGTCATATTTATGATAATTGAAGTGTAAGTTTCAATTTTTTTATTACAGTTACAGCACGAGAGCGCCACGGTTAGTTATGCAGTTCATCACTGGATAAATATCAAGGACAATTGTGGACTCGAAGGGGTTGCTGGATGCAAATTTTTTGAACGAATGGAATCGGCACTAACGCCGGTCGTATGCGCAGCTTATTTATTAGATCCATATTATAGAGGTAATTAAACATCGCGAAATTTTGTCACGCAAAAATGAATTTTTAGACCCTCCTCTTCCTTGTCATGCTTTACAACCCTTTCTGTCACCCAAAACTTTTACCCGCAAACCTCAGTTGTGACCTTATTTTCAACTAACGCATACATTTCTCGCACACATATGTGCATATATTGTTAATTTTACTTTTATATATTTAAGGTGAGGGGTTACCCAACAACTTCCGAGAGAAAGGTCAAACCTGGCTGGGTGACAAAAATCCGTTGTACGTGTCCGCGCAGATCAAGTTGGCACTAAATGACGACAAATTTTATGATGCTCGTCTCATGAAAAAAGAAATTTTACGAGGGGATATATCTCTATCTGGGGCTCAATGGTGGGAGCACATGGGGGTATTACTTGGTACCAAGCTACCTATTGGATTTTCTAAATTGGCCAGCGAATTAATGCTTCTGCCCGCATCGACGAGTCCCATGGAAAGATGTTTCTCTACAATGGGGTCCATTATGACTGAAACTAGAAATAGAATTGGAATTGAAAAGGCAAGTAAATTATGTATGATTTACCGTGTATTGAATTCTCAAAGGTTAGCTAGAAAACCTGAGTAAATTATACTAAAATATTAGGGCCAATTTAATTAGATAACCCATAATTTCTACTAGTATAAAACTAAAAGTTTCGACGTCTCAACTTATAGTTCCAACGATGCATTAAATGTATGCTGAGATTTAAGTTTTCTTAATAAATAAAACGCACCAAAAAAATAAAGTAAATTTAGAAAACGTTTTATAAATGATATTGAAAGTGCATAATAGTCTCTTAATTTAACACACCTTTCCTGGCTTAGGTTGCCCCAAAACCCCGACTACCCCGACTACCCCAAAAACCCCGACTACCCCCAAAACCAAGGTAAAACCCCGGGGTATGGGTTTTCCATTGGAAAAACCCGGGGGTTTTCCTTACCCTGACCGTGATCCTGATCGATATGCGTCTGCACTACGAGGACAAGAAGGTTTGGGGCGATCCCGAAGTGTTCAGGCCGGAACGATTTATCAACCAAGCTGGCGAAATTGTTAATACGAAAAACATAATTTCCTTCTCATTTGGTAATTTCGTTTAAGGAAATAAGTATTATACAGCTTCCGTAATTGTGTAAACTTGGCAAAACTAAAGTACTCATCAAATGCTTTTGAGGTGAATTATGGTAATAATTTTGTAAACCTAGTATTTACTACAAAGTTTATGTACAAGTTTACACTACGTCAAGAATTTACATAATTCCGCATTTTAATTTACATATATTCGTACATTCACCAGGAAAACGAGCATGTCCGGGCGAAGTTCACACAACTTTTGTCTCCTTCAGTCTCCTGACCTTGATGTTGCAGCGGTATAAAATCTCGAGTTTGGAAGGTGAACCTAAGCCGAGATTAGACTTGAGGCTCGGCTTCTCCATTAAGCCGTACCCTTTCAAGGCCGTCTTCACTCAGAGAATACTACAACAATGATCATGGATTCGTGTAAAATTAGTAGTAGGACAAAATTGCTAAAATTTGTATTAATTATGATGAATATTATGCACAATAAAATCTGACCAATGTCCAGATTGTTTGTGCCCAAGTGGAAGGTCGCATAGGTACATATATTTGGGACCGTTCATAAACTATGTAATACGAGAGGGGGAGAAGGGGTGTCTAATCCTCCAAAGGTATTTGCATATGTATGTTCAAGGGGGAGGTGGGTCAAGAAAGCACATGAATCGTCAGGCACGGAACAATACAGCAATTTCCTCTGTTTTGTCGCTATTTTTTCAAAATTTGTACCCATTTATTTATTTGCTCCGTTTTACACTTCATTTTCACATTACACACATATTAATTACTTAATGAGACAAAATAAATATAATTTCTTATAAATTACGACCCTTCACCAGAAATTTTAGTATACATACATAATAAATAAATATCCATTCCAATTTTCTTTCAATGACAACACAATAATTCCAAGAATTCCAATAATTCCATTTCCAATAATTTTCTGCTCAGATCTGAAGTATCACCTCTAAACGTTCGATTACAGAATCTCTCGAATTAGGAAAAAGAGCTAAAAGTCGGGCATATATCCTGGCCTGTTTAACAACATGTGCATCTTGTGTTATAGCATGATCAAAAATTCTGATATCAGCCTCCCTCACCGACTCGACCACTTGACGAGGAACCTTCGGCGGAATGAATGACCGCACTCTGGCAGAATTCCCGGAATGAGTGTTAATTTTCAAAACTTGCAAGACAGGGAAACCTATGGCGTAATTAATCGGTCCAAAATTTCCTGATCCGGGGCCCGTCTCGAACAGAATTCTGCTAAATATTTCACAATTAGGGATGCAAAGTTTCCTTAAGGCTGGAAATACAGGAAATGTCCACTCCAGTATTCTCTCTTCGTTCAACAATTCAATGCTGACTTGTAGCTCTTCCAACGTGGCGGACTGCTGGTTTAATAATTCGTACAAAATTGTTGGTACGTCATCCACTCGATCGTCAATTTCCAGCTCAGTGTCGCCATCCCCGAGGAAAAGTGTTCTCAAAGTGGCCGGAATTGTGGAAAGGCATGCAAGCTTAGCCGTGTCGAAATTTCCAGTCACTTTTAAGACATTGAGGGACCTGAAATATGCAAATTCAAATTTTGAAGTTATAGAGGAGCAGGTTACCCAGCGTGTGCTCCCAGATTTTGAGCAAATTAGTGTCAATCGATCGGAAATTTAAGTAGTATCAATTTTTCGGAAGATGAGATCTCAAATTGGTCACATTTCGCGGAGATGTTTGTATCCAAACTTTGGATTCCAAAGAGCAGAAAACTCGTCGTAAAGTTAAGTTGGCAAATGTTACTTTCCAAATTTGCATTTTTTCCTCTCCGGATGCAACTTTATATGCATTTGCAGATCGTGTTTTTTTGCAGAAATTAAATTTGTGATCGATAAAATCGATTGATACTCAAAATCGTGGAGCACTTGCCATTCTTAGGGAAAAAATCGTTCCGTTTTTTACATCTTAGAATGTGTCACTTACCTCGGGAAATTTGGCAATTGTCCAGCCACGGAAAAGATGGCTAAGTAGTCACAATTGATCACGAGATATTCCAGGTTAGGGAATGAAGCCACGATAGCGTGACCAATTCGTTGGACAGCCCCGTTATCAGGATCAAAATAACGTGTGACCTTTAACTTGGCCAATTTTGGAAAGACGGTTCCTCCAAGTGCCGGGAAATCTAGGAGCTTCTCACCTCCCATCCAGTCAAATTCCAAGTCTTCCAAAGTCCTGGACGACGACGAGATAATATTTGCAGATAAGTCTCTCTGCCAAAGAGACGCAGGCTGGGCTGGATACTGGACAATGATCGATTTTAAATTGGTGATTGGAGGAAATTCGGCGTAATCCTTGGGTGATATGGGGCAACGATGGAGAGATGGAATCCCCAGATAAATATTGGCCGGCTTGAACTTCATCTTGTCCTTGACCTCTGAAATACTCCAGCCGCCCAAACCGGAAACGCCAGGCGATAAGTTGAGTCTTGTTTTCGTCCTGGCTTTTAGAATAGGAATACATTTATAATTCCAAAATCAGCAGACAAGTCGAGCCTTCTTGATGTCTTTGACCGTGAGAAATTTGCAAACGTAACCAATTACCTGCGAGAATGTAAGTATGTAAGAAAGTGTAAAAAAACTTGTAAATTTTTTTTTGTAAATTTTTTTTAATAAGCAAAATAATTTTATTTATTACGTCGCCATCAAGCCTTCCGTGGGGGGCAGGAACTACATTATCATCCCGCCGGCCATGAAATCTCCTTGCTATTAAAAAATATTCAGTAATTATTTTAAAATGATAAAAATGTGTGTTCTTTTTTCCATGCATAACTTACCTCCAACATGGGTCCTTTTTCCGCGGAATAATTATAGCAGCAACAAAATTATGAAGGTAAGGATCAAGGTGTGCACGAGTGGTTCAATTTTAATTACAACTAGCAATTTGTAGTATTTTTTTAAGTTTAAATAAATTATATTTCTCTTTGTGATTAATTATCCCAGCAAATGATGAAACGGACAAAGTAAAAGTTCTCCCGCAATCCGCCACCACCACCACGTTGTCTCATTTATATACGTACATACTCTACATCCAGGCAGGATTGAACTTTTACAGAAATTGAGAATTCTGAGAAACTATGCCACTCCCAGTCTCAAAGTTCCTCGTCAGCATTATTTGAGGGAATTTGAGACTGGAAGTGGCATAGTTTCTCAGAATTCTCAATTTCTGTAAAAGTTCAATCCTACATGGATGGAGAGTAGGTCGTCGCTAATGCTGGTAGGTATTAGTATTAACGAGGTGAACGAACCTGTCTGAGTGAGACAGCTAAATGATAAGAGACCAGTGGCCGCGGAAGCTGAAGGGGACGATTGTAGGAAAGTACAAACCGCTCATTACAAACCCCGCATTACAAACCGCTCCTTTCAAACCCGGCTCCTTACAAACCGCTTATTACAAACCTTGCTCACTACAAACCCTGCGCATTACAAACCCTGGACACTATAAACCCGAAAAGGTGGTGAGTTCTAAAATAATCAAATATTCAAAATATGTTTTTACAAATCGGATGCTTTGAGAAGTCTAAAATCAAATTTTTAAAATGAATTCATGAAATCCTATTTAAAAAAACATTGGGAACACTTCTTTGAATATTTAGACATTTTACGAACTTAATGTTTGGGATTATGTGCCCTGGGTTTATAATGATCAGGGTTTGTAATGAGCGAGGTTTGTAATGATCCGGGTTTGTATTGAGCGGGTTTGTACTTTCCGCCGACCGAAGGGGACAGAGGGACAATGTCCCCACGGTTATTCGATGTCCCCATTATATGTCCATGGTATGCAAACCCCTCCCCTATCCTACAATGTTAATGTCCCCACATATCCCCACAGCTTCCGCGGCCACTGTAAGAGACATGTGACATTTACATGCATATGATTAAGATTCTTTACATATGTAATTATGTAAGTCTGCCTTTGCATGAACCTTTTCTTGGTCTATGCTCATTCCCAGTATTCTATTCTCACCTTCAAACCTGAGGCCAAATTCCGGCCTAAAAATAAGTAAAAGGCGACACAGCGTGCAAAGCACATGTTATCATTTTTACACCTAACCTTATGTATCTGATAATCGCAATTGATTATTTTTTATATAAGTAGCACGAATTTGTAGCTAAGCGTTCGAGAAGAAACAAGCTTCTGACAAGCATCTATTGCATCGAAACCATAGAATGTTTGGATGGCCCATTAAATAGAAAGGGACGCCGACTTGTTCAGTCCGCTTTGCATAGAAAAAAATTCTGTTCGTGCTTAACCCTTGCAAAATAAAGACAAACATTTTTGTTTGTACGTCTAAAATAAATAAAAAGTTACTAAGCTGGTTCATCTATTTGAAGTACTACTTTAATCGCATTTTATCTAATTAGTACCACTAATTAAATAGGTATGTGCTTGTGTACAAATAGATAAGCCATGAGAGTATTCACCATTTCTCCGTATCCTTAGTATTCTTCGTATCGTAAGATATGCAAGTTACGGCGGGTATAAAATCTTGATCACAAAGATGTAATCATCAAAAATCGCATCCGTAAGGTCACGATTTTTGTCAAGTTTGACCCCTACTTTTCCCTAAGTAAACTATTTTATGTTACTAAGGATACGTAGTAATGCCCTCAATGCTTGAGTACCCTCAATAAGTATTTAATGTGCATTTCATATTTTTCGGTACAGCGTAAAATCGACAACTGCTACAAGCACGCCGTCATTGCCATCTTCAAACAAGTCAAACACGTTTAGTTTACATGAATATATCTACACTGGAGAGCAGATGTGAACGCCCAAAACCACGAGCACAATTTAGATCATAGTTTCTCAATAAGTGCGGGGGATTTTTGAAAGGTGGTTATCTCATTTTGAAGACAAATTAATACATAAACATTCACCACAGAAAAATTGGTGTATGATTATTTTTCGCTCTGAACGCACCTGTGACGCCAAATTAAGAAACGAGGAGCGGTGCAAAAGTCATCGCCAAAACAATTCAAGTAATTGCAGTTTTAAAATTACGAAAGTAAGATAACATTTTTTTTAACTTTTTATTACACCTACTATTGACTTATATTTTAAATAATTCCACCCCAGATAATACAATGTCTCCGAGAAGAAAAACTCCAAGAAAAGAAACAACAATCGCCATTCGGGATCTGGTCATTCAGCACTACGAAAATGGGGGGAAGACGCAACGAGAAATTGCTGATTTGGTCAAAAAATCTCGCTCAACCGTCCGTGACATCATTTTACGTTACAAATTAACGGGATCTATCGAGAATAGAAAACGAGGAGGAAGACCACCAACCTTCAACGCAAGCGAGAAGAAAATGATTGTTCGAAAAGTGACCAGAAATCCAAAACTGTCGTCTCCGATGGTCTACGGTGAAATGGAAAATGATGTTGGAAAAGTATCTAGTCGTTGGACAATCTCGAGAGTTTTGAAAAGTAGTGGCCTAAAAAATTTTAGAGCCAGGAGGAAGCCCTACATATCAAAAACGAACCAGAAGAAAAGATTGGCTTTCGCAAGACAGCATGTAAACAGTGATTCAAAATTTTGGGAATCAATCTTGTGGTCCGATGAGAGTAAATTTAATGTTTTCGGGTCGGATGGCAGGGCTAGGGTATGGAGAAAGGTCGGAGAATCTCTTAAACTGAGAAATCTCAACGCTACAGTGAAGCATGGCGGAGGAAGTGTCATGATATGGGGCTGTTTCAGTTCCGCTGGGACCGGTACGCACGAATTCATCAACACTACCATGAACCAATTTGTGTACCAAGAAATACTGAAGAGAAACGTGAAACAATTAGCAGCCAAACTTAGCCTTGGAAGACGCTACACCTTTCAGCAGGACCGCGATCCTAAGCACACGGCCAAGTCCACTTGGGAATTCTTTAGAACTAACAAAATTAAAGTTCTTGAATGGCCTCCACAAAGCCCGGATCTCAATCCTATTGAGCATTTGTGGGACCACATCGAAAGAGAGATCCGAAAACACAAAATTTCGAGCAAAGCTGAGCTGAAAGAAAAAATCTCCGCGGCGTTCAGTACCGTCGACCCTGACGTCACTAAGACATTGGTTGCGTCCATGCAACGTCGCTGTCAGGCTGTTATATTGTCGAATGGAGGTCCAACAGCATATTAATTGTCAATTCTTTCGGTTAAAATTGAAAACTGTTGAAATATTATATGTTGTTTTCATTTTGGCGATCACTTATGCACCCTCTGTTTTCACTTTTTTTCAAAACTACGAACTTGTGACGAAAACTATACATTTTGATGTAGACTATTTGATACTTATTCATTGAATATTAAATTGTATACAAAATGCAAAAAAAAATTCCGGAAAATTTGTTATCTTTAAAAAGTTATTAGCATTTAAATGGTGAGCTTTCTCTTGGGCGTTCACATCTGCTCTCCAGTGTATGTACATAAAATGCCAGTGTTAAGTCCTGGGTCGGTCATCGAGTTTTCAATAGATTGCCCCATCTTTGCATCATTAAGCGTACCCATAGGTAGTAAATAATTTACATATTCACATAAGTACCTTTACTACACCGTGTAAATTACACGTATTTAATTTGTGAGCTTCTCAGGACACCGTGATCCTGATCGATATGCGGCTGTACTACGAGGGCAAGAAAGTTTGGGGCCATCCCGAAGTGTTCAGGCCCGAACGATTTATCAACCAAGCTGGCGAAATTGTTAATACGAAAAATATTATTTCCTTCTCATTCAGTAATTACGGTGAAGAAAATTTCTTCCGTAAGTATGTAAACTTTAGATAAGAAAGACGAGGCAGTTTGTCATAATAATAATTTTGCAAAGTTTGCACAGTTGGGTATGCTTCCGAAGAATTTGCATAGTGTTAAATTTTAATTTGAATATACATTTTAATTTGCATGTACAATCAGGAAAACGGGCATGTCCGGGAGAAATTCACTCCAAATTTGTATCCTTCAGTCTCCTGACCTTGATGTTGCAGCGGTACAAAATCTCGAGTTTGGAAGGTGAACCTAAGCCAAGATTAGACTTGAGGCTCGGCTTCTCCATTAAGCCGTACCCTTTCAAGGCCGTCTTCACTCAGAGAATACTACAACAATGATCAAATTATGGATTGGTGTAAAATTAATAAGAGGGCAAAATTGCTAAATTTGTATTAATTCTGATGCATATTATGTAAAATAAAATTTGATGAATGACCCGACTGTTTGTGCACTGTGGAAGGTCGCATTTATATATTTAATAGGCCGTTCGTAAACTATGTAATGCGAGAGGGGGAGAAGGGGTGGCTAAGCCTTTAATGGTATTTGCAAATATATGTTGAAGGGGGAGGTGGGTCTAGAAAGCTTATGAATCGTCAGGGCACGGAACAATACAGCAATTTCCTCTGTTTTGTCGCTATTTTTTCAAAATTTTTACCCATGTATTTATTTGCTCCATTCGATACTTCATTTTTACACATCCATATTATTACTTAATGAGACAAAATAAATAGAATTTCGAATAAATTACGACCCTGCACCAGAAATTTGTATATAATTAATAAATACCCAGCCCAATTATTTTAAATGACTTTTAAACACACTTCCCACAATTTCCTGCTTAATTAAACTACACAATTCTAAATATCCATTCCCAATTTTTTCAATAGCACAGTTTCCAATAATTTTCAGCTCAATTAATTTGAAGTATCTCCTCTAAACGTTGGATAACAGAATCTCTCGAATTAGGAAAAAGCGTCAAAAGTCGCACGAATATCTGAGCCTGTTCCACTGTGTCTGAATCTTCTGTCCAATAACCAAAAAAGTTGACATCAACCCAGGGTTCGCTACCCCGGGTTTTTGTGGGTTGGGGTTTTTGGGGTTTTTGTGGGTTTTTGGGGTATCAAATCTCCGGAAAAACCCTAATGCTTAATGGGGTTTTTGCGGGTTTTTGTGGGTTTTTGTGGGTTTTTCCGGGGTTTTTGTAGGATTTTGAGGTAGATTGAAACAAAATCCCTTAAACTACAACGTAGATCAATGCTAATTAACTTTTCTACTTCATCTTGAAATTTTGAGAATCTTCATTTGCGACTTGAATTTCCAAATATCATTGCATATATCCAGATTTACATGTCAAACATAAATTTTCGATGTAACAGTCCAAATCAATGATAACGGTTAAAATTGCATGTTAAAATTGTATATAAAATTAGTTTATCTCTAATATATAATTTTAGGAATTCTGGTTCAACCTGCCCCAAAATCTACAAAAACCCACAAAAACCCACAAAAACCCAAAAACCCACAAAAACCCCAAAAACCCCGGAAAACCCCCAGGGGTTGGGTTTTTCTACAAAAACCCCGGGGTTTTCCAAACCCTGCATCAACCTCCTCCACAGACTCGACCACTTGACGAGGAACCTTCGGCGGAAGGAATGACTCCACTCTGGACGGCTCCCCCTTATCACCGCAAATCTTCAAAATTTCCAAGACCGGGAAACCTTTAGCGTAAGTAATCGGTCCAAAATATCCTGATCCCGGGTACGTTTCGAACACGATTTTTGACAATGTTTCACAATTATCCATGTGGAGTTTCTTCAAGACGGGAAATACTGGAAATTTCATTCCAGTATTTTTCTCTCTTCATTCAACCATTCCATGCGGACTTCTAGTTCTTCCAACGTGGCGGCGTGCTTGCTTAATAATTCGTACAATATTGTTGGTATACCAACAATGAGCTATAGCTCATCCACTCGATCGTCAATTTACAGATAAGTGTCACAATTCCCGAGGACAAATTTCTTCAAAGTGGCCGGAATTTTCAAGAGGCATTCAAGCTTAGCCGTGTCGAAATATCCGATCACCTGTAAACCAGTCAGGGACCTGAAACCAATTTAATCAAAATTACATATTTACGATGGATAAATTTAATTAGGAAAGACAGGGGTAGGGCCAGTGGTCACGTTTGGCGGATATATTTGCATACGAAGAGGAAAAAATTCCGGTTAATTTGACAAATTCGACTCTTCAAATTTATTGTGTATTTTCTCCTCGTCGGATGCAAATACCCCAATGCAATACAAAATTTGCGACAAAATCGGCACTACTTCGCTCAACACGTTACGTTTCACGATTGGCGATTTCAACGCTGCAGGAAAAGAGCAGAAGAATAACAGGCTCGTGTGGTCGGGAAATCACGAGTCGTGGAATGGTTTATGAACAAATGTCGGGAGACCTCGATTGTCAGATAGAATGTTAAAATTACCTTGGAAAATTTGGCAATAGTCCGTCCTCTAAGTAGTCACAATTGATCTCGAGATATTTCAGGTTTGGGAATGATGCCACAATAGCTTGGCCAATTCGTTGGACAGGATTGTCACGAAAAGAATTGAAGTTACTTTTGACCATTAAATTCATCAATTTCGGAAACACGATTCCGCGAAGTGACGGGAAATCCTGGGATCTTTCATCTTCCATCCAGTCAAATTCCAATTCTTCCAAAGTCGTGGACGACGACATGATAACATTTGTGGATAACTTCATCTGCCAAGGAAACTCATGCCGGGCGGGAAACTGTACAATGATTGATTTTAAATTGTTGATGGACGGAAATATGGCGAAATCCACGTCAGGCAGAACGTAATGGTGGGCAGATGGAACCCCCAGGTAAACATTGACCGGACAGAACTTCATCTTCTTCACGACGTCCAAAATGTCCCAGTCGCACAAACCGAATTCAAAATAATGACCATTCTCATCATATCCGGGCGATAGGTCGAGTCTTGTTCTCGTCCTTGCTTTAAGAACAGGAGTACATTCATAATTCCAGGAAGACGAGACAAGCCGACAATTCTTGATGTCTGAGGTGGCAAGGAATTTGCAAACTTGACCAATCACCTGAGGAATAAATATTTTAAATGTATATTTTAAATTATGAGCATACTTCCGTCAACCTTTGGATATCTTGGAAATTGAGCAATGAAGTTTCGGAATTTAGCTAAACTTTTACTAGAAACTGATAGGATTATTTGCAAGTTTGTATTTTGCAAAGTCATCCTCGCCATCACCAGCGAGAGAAATTAAAATTACATAGTCATTAAATGCAAGAAAAAATGGATCATTTTAAAAGTAAATTCGCGAGATTTGTCATATTTTGCGACTACACATATTCTTACAGCCTTGCAAGTTTACTAAATGAGTTGCGACGGGAAATAAGATATTGTCGTACAGGTAAATTACACTTTTTTGCGAAAATAAAGAATTTAGTAAATCTAAATACATTAATGAGCAAAATAATTTTGTATTACGTCCTGATCAAGACTTCCGTGGGGGGCAGCATCCCCGCTGGCCGTGATCGTCGTAATCGTAAAATCTTCTTGCTGAAAAAATAGGCAATAATTAATTATTTTAAAATTACCAAATTTTTTGTTCGTTTCTTTTTTCTTTTCTAAATAACTTACCTCCAACATGGGTCCCTTCTCGGCCGACGTAATTACAGCAGCAACAAAATTATGAAGGTAAATACCAAGGTATGCACGAGGGGTTCAATTTTAATTACAACTGGCAATTATTGGTAGTATTTTTTTGAAGTTTTTATTTTTTTATTTATTCTTTGATTATTCTTCCAGCCGATGAAAAGAACGATGGCAAGGTAAAGGTTTTCTCGCAATCCATCACTTTGTCTCATTTATGCCGTCGCGTCTGCAAAATTGCATGAAATTTTGTACTGAATTTGGTTGGAAATGAGATTTTATTTATTAATGAATTAACAAATAGATTTATTTATTTGCCCAGCCTGATACTACATTTTTTACAGAGTTTTGTACATATAGATACTTAAATTAAGTAACTTAATGAGACAAATTAATCACAATTTCGCATAAATTACGACATTTCACTAGAGATTCAACTAATTAATAATTTTTTTAAATGATAACACAGCTTACAAAAAATTTTCTGCCGAATTCACCCATCCAATCTTACACAAGCGCTGGTGGAAAAAACTTTTTCTTCCCCATTCACATTTCCAAATATCCAACATTTCCAAAAAATTTCCCGGTCGCAAAAATTTCCCGATTTAGTGACCTTTACAGTAATTATTCTCACAAACGCTTTGGACAATACAATAGTACTTAGCTAATTACTTGGTGGCAGGGCTTTCTAATTAATTAGTCAATCTAATTAATTAGCTAATTAAATAGCAATGTCTGGCTAATTACTAACTAAAGTTAATTAGTAGAATACTGCCTAATTAAAATTACTAATTAATTAAAATTATCGACAAACCAATTACTAATTAATTTGTTTTTTCTAAACAAAATTAATTTTTTAATACATATTTCTCGTTTAGCTCTTAAAAAATTTTCTTGGCTGCAGCAAATATACCATGCGTGTCTTATCAACTTCTTAGCTTTTTTTACACTTGTAGTCGCAACTTTAAACCTTTGTATTGGAACAACGAGATAGCAATATATTTTTGAATATAATGGACTCCCTTGCACAGAACCTTAAAAACTTGTTTGATAATGTGAATGGATGGTATACTTTTAAAAAAGTTGACAGCGACAAAGTAACGACTGCTTGTAAATTTTGTCCAAATAAAGCGATTACCGGCACAACTAAGGTCAGCTCTAATTTCCACAGCCATCTCAAAGTAGAGCGAAATTTGTTTTGAATTTAAAAATAATTCAACATTTTACATTCGCTGAAAGACGACTTATTCGAGGTATTAGCCATGCTGAAATGTTGTGAAATTAATTCATGCAAAGCTATGAATATGACAAACTTAATTATTCAGTAATTGGAAGTAATTAATTAGCTAATTAAAAATTAATTAGTTTGCTTGTTCAGAGGTAATTACTAATTAAACAATTAATTAGATCAAAATTTTCGGAACTAATTACTAATTGCTAATTAATTAGAAAAGTGGATAATTAGAAAGCCCTGCTTGGTGGTTGGTTTACTAATTGTAATTACCATGCGCTTCTATTATTACACTGCATTTGATGCCACGTATATTCATTTGTGGGAATAAGAAGCAGGAAGTTTTGTTATATTTTTCAGCGTTGATCTTCAGTCCCGGGAAAGAGCAGATCAACACTGCATGTCCATAGATAAATAGGAGATTTTAGAATTTAATTGAGTGTAGTAAAGGGTAGAAACTACTACCAAACTAATGCTTTCTGTATTTTTGAGAAGAAGAATTTTGTAGACAGTATGGCAGAGCTAACTGTATATACGAGGAATGAACCGCGTAACTGCATGAGTTCTCATGTTACAAATTTCTGGTTGATCTTGACGACCAGTTAGCTTCCGATTTGAAATCAATTTTTCGAAAGTGTTTTCCCCCCATTTATGCATCGTTGAAGGCGAGACCCACAGAGCCAGTTCTCGGTGGAAGCACCCATTGAATTCAAGAATCTTATAGCATATGTAATGTGATGCATAAGTTATTTGACGCATTTATCTTCTACCTCTTTTCGATAAAGTAGATTTATGGGAACTATAGCTAACCAGCTCACGCTTGGCAAAACAATCACAGAAATAGGTCATTTGATAACCTGCAGAAGTGTGCGTTTACAGGTCACCTTGAAAAATATGTCATAAGAAAAACTTCCAACTGATTTTGCTCAAATTTTGCATACTATTGGGGATAGGGAGTAGGCCATTTTTGACGACTCCATTTTTAAGTAGATGATTATTTCCGACTTATGGGCCAAAAACACCCTCCAGGAGGATGTTTCTTAGAGGATTCCTCCCAAAACAATTTCGATAGAGTAATTTTGTGAACCAGAACTCTAACCATATTCAGACATAAAAAATATTATTTCGTATTTTAAATTAGTTGAGACGGACATTGTGGGTTGACTTTTAAAACAATTTATTGTCCCAATATTTCGACAATTAACTATTGTCTTCTTCAGGGGAGAATAAAAACAGAAGAGAAGTAAAAAATATTTTTTGTTTTTGTGCCTGTATCAGTAAAAGATTATGAGTCATAATATTAGGTTGTTTGGTTACAGTAAATGTAATAAAGCAGATGTCCAAATCGGGTTGATTATCATTCCATCTTTTTGATTCATGGCTGTTTCTTCAGCATTGATGTATAGACCTTCTTTGAAAATTCTTGCAAAATTATTTCGTATGTTTATTGCTATATTTTTGCTTCCGCGAGTAACAAAATCGGTAATCAAATGGCTGAGATAAGTCGGTTGGAAGTTTTCCAGCATTGGGCGCTGTTGTGGTAATAATGCCAGCAAATCATTATGCCATGCACCCCTGTTAATTGATGAATAAAGGAAAAATTAAAAAAGTTGCAAAATAAAATAAATCAAACAAACGAGATTCTTAGGTGAATAGTACATACATATGTGCGTCACCGCCCGCCGTATTTTTGATACCACATAGATAAATTGCAACAAATACTCAATAATTATATTTATTCAATTAAAACTTAGTTAATATACAATGCACAACACTTCACAGGTTTTTGCTCTCTAAGTTCAAGACGGGCAGCAAATCTGCTCATCGGGTGAAACACATTTCGACGAATAATTTCAAATTGTTACGAATTCGAAAAATGTGACGAAAAACTTCTAAAACTTTTTAGTGGTATCAAACATACAGCGGGTGGTGATACAAATAATTGATTATCATTTTAATAGTTTTGTTTTAAACTTTCCGTTACACTTACTCTCACATAAGATTCTCGTTTTTTCGGGTTTATTTTATTGGAGACTAGACTGAATCTTACTTTCAACTCCCTTAACAATTTTATGTTTCGCCATTCAAATTTCCATTTCGGATGTTATAAACCCCAGCTTCCTTTCAAGATCTTACACACTACATAATTTGCCTTATAATATTTAAAAATTGACTTGCGGTATTTATTCAAATTTGAAATGCATTTATCATATTTTTATTATCTCCAACGATCTGAAAGATTCTAGCTAGTTTTAGCACACTGTGCATACAACTCCTCAAGCCGGAGTTCTCAATTAAACAAAAATATTGATATCCGATAGGAATTCATATTTAATAAAATATAGCTTGAAAAAGTAAATGGTTCTAATCCTAAGGTGAGGAAGTGCACTTAAAAGTACTAAACAAGCTCCCCACATCTCCGCCACCCAGATAATTTTACTGCTACGCTTTGTTGTATGTAGATCGCTAAATAATTCTTCATTAGAAGCATACGTACCGTAAAACCTCTATTTATAGCCCTATTCTAATTATAGCCGGTCTCCAAATATAGCCGGGTCTGGAGACCAAGATTTCAAAATTTTAGCCGGGTCTCTAATTATAGCCGGGTCCCCAATTATGACCGGGTCTCTAATTATGGCCTGTATTTTTCGCTGTATCCCTGTTCATACCCAATCCTACGAAAATACTGAACATCCGGTTAATCAACGAATAAGGTCAAAATTTACAGAATTACGTGTTAAGATCTTAAACATAATGCATATATTTAATCACGACAGTTTTTAAAAACTACAAAACCTCGTCAAAAGAAGTAGATTTAAAGTGAATATTTAGCTGATGTCATATTTTGCTAAATAAAATAACTCAAATCGAGTCAACATAAATTATTCGCTAATTTTATAATGACTAAAATTAGGGCGGAACAAAATTTAGCCGGGTCTCTAATTATAGCCGGTCTCTAATTGTAGCCGGGTCTGTGACCCCCAGTTTTGGATTTTAGCCCCGGCTATAAATAGAGTATTTACGGTGCCTAACTCAAAAACCTATTCCCAAATACTATCAAACTTGGCATAATGTCTTTCACGGACGATGGTGAGAGTGGCTGCATAAGATTAGTCAACAACTCATAGCAAAACAACTAATAGCCTCCAAAAAGCAGGAACCCCATAAATAATTCTGGGGTATTTGTACTGGATGCGACTAACGCATTTTATAGGTCGGACTATGCTAACCTAACGCAAATTTGACAATTCCCGGTTTATAGTCTTGACGTCGGTTCGTATTATCCGTGTTTCAAATCCTTTTCGTCCGATTTTCTTCCTACTTTCTGTTTTCCGTCGGCTTTTTCCTCCCGTTGTGTAACTTCTCCGCCTCACCCGTTTTTTTCTTTCCCGTCAACTGAAAAATTGCGAATTCATATTTTATCCTCCTGCCTCGTATTTTTCATCGGTTGTTCAACTCCTTGCGCTTCTCCATTCAGCTTTCCATTTATTCCTAGATTTGTTAAAAACTTACCTAAAAGAAACGGGAGAGAAAAACGGGGTTTCCTTTACGCTTCAAATTTTTCAAAATACAAGATACAAAATACTTTTGGCCAAAATCGTCGAAATCTAAAAATACAAAATACGTATTTAAAATACATTCCAAAATACAAAATACTATTGCCAGATTTGACCCTGAAAATGCAAGTCAAGTTCAAATTTCAAACTCATTTTAGTTCACAGCATTATTTGGAAGTTAGTAATTATTTTTCCGGGTATGCTTGAGGTCATTTGTTATCTAAAAAATGATACGAAGATTATAAGCCCTACATAATTTCAATCTAAGTAATTTTAATCTTTCTCGCACTACAAAAAGACATTCTCGTACGATAAAGTGTCGATAAGGAAGTAAAAATAAGTTTTAATACCCATCATAACACTTGAGAGAAATTTAAAAATTAAAAATTAATCATCTGCATAAATATGACATATTTTTTGTAGTATTCTGACACAGCCATGTTCTTCTCATGAGCTCGTCTCATATTTGCAAAATTTATTTTGTAAAGTATTTTTGTATTTAAAATACATTGACCGACCGAAAAATTAGAAAATACAAAATACAAAATACCCGGCTAGCTTCAAAATACAAAATACTGAACCATGGCCCTCAAAATACAAAATGCAAAATAGTATTTTTTATTTTGTAATTTGTATTTTGTATTTCAAATAGTATTTTACCCAACCCTGATTTTCTCTCATCTTCCTTCCGGCTTCCTCATTTTCGTCCGTTTTTCCTCCCTCGAAATTTTTTTCTGCCCGCGTCGTCTTTTTATCGGTCGTTTTACTCCCTCGCAATTTATTATCCCTGCTTCGTATTTTTTTCGGTCGTATTTTTTTCTTTAATTTTTTTCCCTCTTTCCCGTTTTTTTCCTTCCGGCTTCGTATTCTTTCTTTAATTTTTTTCCCTCCTTCCCGTTTTTTTCCTCCCCGGTTCGTATTTTCTCGCATTTTTTTCTCCCTCCTTCCCCTTTTTTCCTTCCCGCTTCGTATTTTTTCGCCCTTTTTTCTCCCTCCTTCCCGTTTATTTCCTTCCCGCTTCGTATTTTTTCGCCCCTTTTTCTTCCTCCTTCCCGTTTTTTCCTTCCCGCTTCGTATTTTTTCGCCCTTGTTTCTCCCTCCTTCCCGTTTTTTTCCTTCCCGCTTCGTATTTTTTCGCCCTTGTTTCTCCCTCCTTCCCATTTTTTCTTTCCGCTTCGTATTTTTTTCGTCAATTTTTTTTTTCTTCTCGTTTTTTTTCCCGTTTGTTCTGGCGACAAAAAAAATTTGCGGCCGCCTTCGGCGCCCGCAAAATTTCCCGGTATCCTGAATACCTGGATACCAAGTTTTTTCCACCAGCGTACACAAGTACTCTCTCTAAATTCTGTATAACAGAATCTCTCGTGTTAGGAAAAAGAGACAAAAGTCGCAGATATATTTTAACCTCTTCCAAAACAGCGGCTTCTTCTATAACACGAAATCTGTATTCATAAATGCTGACATCAACCTGTCTCACGGACTCGACGACTTGACGATCCATTTTCTCCGGAAGGAATGTCTCCACTCTGGCCGACTTGCCCGTATGACTGAAAATTTTCAAGATTTCCAATTCTGGGAAACATTTGGGGTAGTTAATCGGTTCAAAACATCCTGATCCCGGGCCGGTTTCGAAAACAATTGTGGTAAATGTATCACAATTCATGATCCAAAGTTTCTTCAAGATGGGAAACGCTGGAAATTTCCACTCCAGGTTCTTCCCTCCTTGTAACCATTCCACGTGGATAAATAGTTCCTCCAACGTGGTGGCGTGTTTGCTTAATATTTGGTGCAAAATTGTTGGCAGCTCATCCACCCGATGGTCAATTTTCAGAGAGGACTCAGCAGGCCCGATCTCAAGTTTCTTCAAACTGGTGGGAATTTTTAGAAGACATTCCAGCCTAGTGGCGTCGAATTCTCCAACCACCGATAAGGAACTGAGGGACCTAAAATCAATTTGAATAAGTTACATATGTATGATATACATTGGACATCTCCGATTTTGTGTAATTCGATTAAAAATTTAATTAGATAGAGTAAAATTTGCAAAAGACATGGAGGGTATTCGTTATTTCTTAGTATCTTAAACAACTCGACGCGGCATTAACAAAATTTCGCAATATTAACAAAATTCCGAATTCTTGACAAAACCTTGCATTGGTTCTTTCAGCATTTACTTATCAACCTTATTTTGACCAACCAATTTGTGATTGCAACTAATTTACTCAAAATTATTGATTAAATAAAAATGACCCGTTCAATTTTAAATCTGTATCGAGCAATTCTATGAAACTTACCGTGTGAAATTTGGTAGTAGGCCCTCCTTTGAAATTTGTGCCAAGTAGAAACAATTCATTGCGAGATCCTTTACGTTTGGGAATGCTGCAAACAAAACTTGCCCAATGGGTTGAACAGGCCCATTCGTGAAGAAGTTACTGTCGACCCTTAATTTCACCAATTTTGTAAAAACGATCCCTCCAAGGGATCCGAAATCTAAGGAAGCCTCGTCTTCTAACCACTCGAATTCCAATTCCTCCAACGTCGTGGACGACGAGGAAACAATGTTCGTGGATAATTCCTTCATCCAAAGAAACTCAAGCTTGGCGGGGTAATGGACAATAAATGATTTTAAATTTTTGAATAAAAGAATTGCGGAGAAATCCAGGGGTGTCAGATTGTAACTGTGGGAAGATGGAATAAACAGATCAATATTGACCGGGGAGAGGTTAATCCTATCCGTGAAGTAGGACAGGTCCCAGCTTTCCAAACGTTCGCAATCATCATCATATCCAGGCGATAGGTCAATTCGTATTCGTGTCCTGGCTCTAAGAACGGGGGTACATTGATAATTCCAAGAAGAGGAGACAAGCCGACACTTCTTGATGTCTGAGGTGGCCAAGAATTTGCACACGTGACCAATTACCTTTAGAATAGAAATATTTTATTCAAAAAAAATTTTCCCTTTACTTGCGTCAAACTTCGTATATCTAGAAAATTGAGCAGAACATGCTGAATTTGTGAAATTTAGCTGAAAAAGGTAGGATTTTTTTAAAAGGAATTTGCAAACGTGGCCAATTAGATGTATCTTTGAATTCAAATTATGCACACTCTAAATAAATTTGATTAAAATTTACTCTACTTTGAGTAAAATTGCTACCAAAGCAACTATTTAGTAAAATTTACTCTGACATAGGTAAAATTTACTCAACGTTGAAAAATTTTTGCTCAACCTTGAGTAAGTTTTACCTTTGTCAGGGTAAATTTTACTCAATAGTTGCTTTGGTGGCAATTTTACACAACTTTATTTACAGTGCACGGGTGCGCAAAAGACTTTGTAAATATGCATGTACCGAGTAGTGGGAAAAATTTGGAGATTAAATAACTGCATAAAAATGTAAATGAGGAAAAGAATTTTATTACGTCATAATCAAGACTTCCATTGGGGCCAGTTACATCTTCGGTAACTGTCGTAAAATGTCCTTGCTAAAAATATGTAATGTTCCATACTTTAAAAAATAATACAGAATATTCTGAGTGATTTAAAAAAAATTAATATAATTTTTTTAATAATTTTTTTAAATATAAATAATTATACAATTTAATGTAATGATTTTATAATGTCAAAAACAATTCTTGTCTTTTAAATAACTTACCTCCAACATTAGCCCCGTTCTCGTTAATTGACAGCAAGTAAGTAAATGTCAAGAGGTACGCCGGGTACACGTTTAAGTACAACTTGTAATTAATGAGGGAACTCAAGTACGTACATAACTTTCGTAAGGTTTGTAAACTATAAACTTTTACACACATCTCTTCGGAAATTTGACTTATGAAATTTTACGAAATTTACGAACTACAGTAGGATGTTTTTACTTCGTAAATAAAGGCTCGTAAAAAGTTCGAGTGTTGAATACCTATTTGCTTTTTCAGTTGAAATAAAGATTGCTATACATAAGGTACGTCTATGCACGAGACAAAAATGTTTACAAACTCAACTCACATCAAGAGTGTACCTTGCCCGGTTACTTATCTAGTTACAAACTTGACGTGAAATCTCCCAAGTTGGATTAACCCGTATTTACTTTTTGCTCTATTCTTCCAGCAGATGTGAAACGAGTGAAAACGGATCTCCACTCCACCACGATCAATTTGTCCCCTTTGCTCCATCGCATTGCGTAACTGTTGGATCGACCCGTGAGTTCGATTTACTACCGGAAAACGAGGGGTCGAAAATCCCGGAAAATTCTCTCTCAAAACGGACCCTAAAAGTGGTATTCATTTCCCTGCATTAAAATTTCTACCGTTTGGTACTAAAAAATTGCATATGCAGAACCCGAAAAATTTGCTACAATATGATAAATGCATACAACTTTAATATATACTTTTCATTATTAACATCACATACATGAATATTTTTTGGTACTAGTTTAATACTAGATTTGTAAAAATGTGTGTTGCATATTGCTTCTATTCAGACCTAATTTGTACTCGTTGCAAACTAAAGAACATGAGCAAATACTCGTATGTTAGCAAAGTGGTAGATAAATATTTCTAAAATCTATATTCACACCATTATCATTACAAATGCATACATTATTATTTACATATGTATGTATATAACCCTAATATGTCGAAGTGACAAGGTCGTCATAATTACGTAATTTCAAGTTTACAACGGGGCCAAAAAAATTAGCGTCAATTTAAGCTTAAAAATGGTATGTACATACATAGAACTTCACTTTGCAATCAGACTAGCACTAAATATTCAACTGATTTCATTTGATTCTCCAGACGGAATTAGAACGAATCTCATTTAAAGATGTCGCCAATTCGCAATTTGTTCTTGTATTCTCTCATCTTGGTAATAAAATCCTTTCAACAAGCTAACGGTGAGTTGAGTTAAGTTTCGATATTTTTTAACTTCTTCATGAAGTTGTCCATACACTCTTAAGAAGAATTTCATATGTTTGAAAAGCATGTTTAAATCCACTCCAAATTCCGTTTTATTAAGGCAAGCTATCATAAATCCAGGGTCAAATTCCGTTTTTATCAAGTTAATGTTACTCTGGGTTAAATATAATTCACTTAAATTACTTAGTTTAGAAAGCTGTTTTTCGGTGGGTGTGGTTGTGGGTTTTCATAAATGTGGTAACTGTGTATTCGTAAACAAAAATATTCATAAATTTCTGTACGTCACTTACAAAGGCTTGACGTGAAAGCCCAAAAAATTAAGTTATTCAAAAATATTTCGTAAAAATTGTTATTTCTTTCTTGCCAATATCGTCGGTAACTACATATGTATAGTGCATGAAATATCATGATTTTATTTATTTATTAGCTCACCCTGCGTAGCACGAGAGCTATTGAATTCCTCTTGTCCATCCGTCTGTATGTTAACGACCTTTTTGCATCAATTGATGCTGATTAATAAGTCCCTGCTCCATTATTAAAGGACTAAGGAGCACCAGTGGTATCAAACAATCGTTGACGCAAATGGTGCACATTAATTCAGCAGATAGATCGAGATAGGACTATAATTTTGGAATAAGTAGCACCGTTAGTACCGAGCAATTGGTTATTAAAAATGATGCGTAACAATTGGGCGATCTATTTCTCCCCAAAAATCAATGATGCGTAACAATTGGGCCATCTTTTTCCCACCAAAAATCATGTCAGAATGCTGTTCTATTTGTTCGATTATTCTGCACCATTGACGCTAAATATATAAATTTTATAATAAATAATTGGGGAAGGGACGCCCTACGCACCAAAATTATGTTTCCGGTTATATTGCACAATTGATGCAAGAATCTAGGAAAGTTATAATCTATTTTGTCCGCTTATTCCCTACCTTTGGTGGAAAGTTATATGCAAATCATTATGACAGGGTGAGCTACTTCTAACGTTACTACGGTTTATTTTTGCTAAATTGTTTTAGGAACGAAAAAGTCGCCTAAACCTTGGGCATATTTACGAAGCTTCGTAAGAATAGCATTTTCTTAGATATGGTAAATTTATGGTGTTTAGGACAGTTATGAAGGTGACGTGAAGACCCTCCGGGGCCGTTCATAAATTACTTAACGCTAAAATCGCGATTTTCTAGACCTAGGCTACCCCTTAAACATGTACATAATTTATGGACGGCCCCTCATTATTTTTACAAATTCACACATAATACAGCGACCGTTGGCCCCGGCGTGTACGTTGCACCTGGTCACCTTCCCTATCAAGTTAGCATCAGTACGGCAGGCTTGCTTTGTGGGGGCGTCCTCTACAGCGAAATCGTCGTCATTACTGCCGCCCATTGGTTAATATTTTCTAAAAAATTTAAAAAATTTAAATTTATTTAGTAACACTAAACCCTGCCACCTTATTAATCCAGCATTTATGATGGCACTGGGAAACTCAGATCGGCCAGTGACCTTCTTATCTATGCCGGCTCGGTCGAACAGTTCAAAGGAGAAATGAGAACAGCCTCAAGTTACGTGATCGCGCCAAACTTTGTCAATCGGGGCGGCTTGCATGACATCGCCTTGATAAAATTAACCCAACCGTTTCAACTCGGCACGAAAATCCAGCCGGTTCGAATTGCCGAGAATGGAGTCTATTTCCAACCAGGTTAAGAAACAAAAGGGGTATTCATTACGAGTTTGCCTATTCGCATAGCGACACAATCTTTGCAAAAAAATTGCGAACTAAATTCTACCCTTAGAGGTGCACAAATTCTCAAATGAATTATCAGAAAAAAAACTTTCGCGAACTTTTTTCTAGCGTTCTTAACGATGCGAACTCGTAATTAATTCGGGAGACTCCCAAATACTTTTAATTTATACAAAAAAAGTAATCAAAAGTCTGACTAAATAGGAACCAAGTGCATTCTGGCAGGATTTGGGTGAGCGATCCTTCACGGCCAAATAAATTATAGTATCGTAAGGTTACACAATTTTCATATATTTTTTGTAACAGCCAAAAGGATAGTAGTACAAGTTTGAAAGAAGTCACAGTCAGAATCCGAAGTGGAACGGTGTGCAGGGCAATAAATGCTAGAACCTGGGACGCGAATACGATGGTATGTGCTGGTGGACTGCTTGGAGAAGGAAACAGTTGCGGTGGAGATTCTGGAGGTAATAAGAACATTACAAAAAAATTATAGCGACGCAACTCTGTTTACCCAATTTGGGATTACTTAATCTAATTTTACATTAGTGACGGTATTCATTACGAGTTCACATGTTTTCATCGCAACATCGCAAGTTTTTCGAAATTGCTAATTTTTCCAAATAGAAACATTTCGCAAAAATGAAACCGAAATGACAGTTCGCAGAATCTGGTGTATGAAATTTTTCACAACTTTTATACAGCAAAACTATGGTACCTAATAGAGATTTAAAGACTTTTCCCATTGCATAATTTTCCATATTTGTAGAAAAAATATTTTGCGAACTAATTGCCATGGCAAGTTCAATTTTTAAGTCAAAATATTTTGCCAACTTGCGAAATTTATTTTTTTGCGAACATTGCTAACGATTCGAACTCGAAATGAATACTCTCAGTATTTATCTCGTAGTCCCCAATTTCGCACTAAACCATTATAAATAAGCAATAATCTCAAATTTTTAGGGCCGCTTATCTGCAACGGCGTACTGTACGGAATTGTTGTAATGGGTGAGGACGTCTGCAGTGGAACTATGGCTACGACGTATACAAATATAGCAAAATATCATGATTGGATAATCCAGACAGCTAACTCGTTCGGGAGTAGGATTAACAGCAATAATGAGATCGGACATGATTTTAAGGGATATCAGTTTAAACCAATGCCCAGTTTGAATAATATGAACGGTATGAAATTCAACTGGAAATCTTTTCAATATCAGTCTTCCAATTCACAAAGCCAGTGGCAATCACAATCATCTTCTTAAAACGGTTGAACTACACTCTAAATAAAGTAAGTAACATTTACTTCACGTTGAGTAAAATAGAGATAAAATTTATTTAACCCTTGTATAAAATTTATCAAGGTTGTGAAATTTGCACGTAGGTTGGTAGGTTAGATTTTTGTCGCTTGGTCCTTTGATTTTTTAAATTCAACCCGGAGTATTTATTTATTTATTTAGAGTGTATGTAAATGAGACACAGAGTTGAGTCTCTCCTAAAATTAAAAGAACATGAAACATAAAATCGCCTTATTGATAAAGCTGAAATTAATATGTTTGGTACGTCAAATGAAACTAAATTGCATGCATAAATAATGGCATATGTAGTGGGATTAAAATTTAATTTTAGTTCTGCCTTAGATAATATATAGCGGTTGGTCTGCTATAAATCGTAAAATTATAGAGACAAATTATGAAAATAGCCATGGAACCATATTTACGAAAAATGCTATAGTAACTTTGATTAAATTTATGGGTTGATAAAATCATACAACTTCGCTACTTATTTCGGAAGCAATGATTTCATATATTGCACTTTATTATAAATTTTGGAACTTTAGTAAAAAGCTTTCAAGGTAATTCTAATAGAATTTTAATCAAGTATTCGAATAAAGTCCGCACGTTTGGATGGTATAATCAAACAATTATGGCTGGAATAACGACACAGAGTGGCCTCCTCATGTTCTGGTAAACCGTAAACCGGAGTTCGGAATTGTCCTGCGATTAAATAATTACATAAATTAATTGTCAAGTCAATCAGCAATTTGTTCTCATTTATCACAAAATTTCAATTACACTAAAAAAAATCAAATTCCATGTATTCCGACGAAGCCTTCTCAAAAATCAAATTCTCCTTCAATTGAGAGAAAATCTTTTTTTCGTTTAAATTTTTGACGTTGGTGAATACTTAAGAGAAGATCGAGCTACATATCTTTCTGAATTTCGATAGAATTTAAAATCGAAACTGAATTTTGAAATTTGTCTATCTATATCTTCCTTAATCTCTTTTCTAAATGTGTATTTAATGTTTTTTGCTTACGCCAGTGAAGCCCGTGGGCGGAATGTAGATGTCATAGTCGAACCGGTATTGTGTATTAGAGTTTATCCTCACACCTTCCAGGTACAAATCTGGCGCGATAATCTGAACTTCATTAGCTCTGTAAGTCAGCGCTTTGAAGAACACGTTCCCATAGTCCCCGCTCTCAGCTGTATTTATAGAATATATAAATTACAAGTTAATTATACTCATTAAACGTATAAATATACATATTTACATTAACATAAATATATTTATTTATTACGATTTATAAAGTCGACCCCAATGTTGTAGTATTGTCCTCGACGAAAAGTGCAAGGCGCGGTTGTACATCCGTCCAATCGGACATCAAGAAGAACCCCGTCACCTAAAATTGCATATAGAATTGGGGTAAAATTTAGTTTAATATAACAAATAGTAATTTATTCTCAACCAGATTTATTCACTGGAGTATACAATTTTATTTGCACCATACCATTGTAAATCATTACTCAAAAAAACTAAGACTAGCGTCGTAAAAAATTATTCAAACTTGTGAACTTAAATGATTATTTTATGTATGTGCTGGGAAATATAATAGTAAGATTTATTTTTGTATATTGATTCATCCAATCAATTGACTTACAGAAGGATCAAGAAGAACCAAAAGTTGTCAATAAATTTGAAAGAAATTTCCGCCAAAACCGTGCAAATAGGATACCAACGATATTTTCAATTATTTATGTATATTTACTGTGAGAAAGCAGACAATTTCAAAATGTTTATTTTGCCATGCAATCGTATGTTTAATATAATCAAATATTTTTTATAATATAACCATAGTTATATTTAGCTTAAGAATTTTTAAAATTATGAGTAAAAATATCTTCGGGAAGAATAATGTATTTTTAGGGATTTCAAATAATTATTAAATCAGTTAGGTATTTAACTTGTAAATAAATGCATATCTTTAAATTTTTACCACAACGTTCCACCCCAGCCATTTGAAGTGCCCCTGGATTTGTTTCGGTTAAAGGAGTTATCACAGGTGGGGCGAGGGGACAAGGGGTGTGGTCAATGGCGACAGCCGACAGACACCCAATCACCGTGGCCAACACGAACAAAAGTTTCGACATGGTTCTGCTTCCAAGCGAGGCGAATTAATAAACCTCAATTGAGACAGGACAGTTATATTTATATCCAAACAAATGTCCAAGCGATGTCAACATAAATAACTCTTCAAACACTTCAAAGACAATCACAATGAAAATGGGACTTGCTACCTATCAATCAGTTTTTATCACCCGCATTCTTTCCAACCAATTAAATATGACAGCGTATTTTATTTATATGGTCATCAATTAATGAATTAATTTGAAAAGACGCAAATCACTCTATGATCACGAGGTGTTTGTTAAGCATGACAACAAAATTAATTGCCACACTCTTAAAATATTGAATGGTAATTTTTCTCTAAATTAATATTCTAAATCGAAAGCAATAAAATAATGAGGACACCTTTATGTAGGTATTTATACTTGCGATATTGTCTCGTGTACTTACTTGAGCTTCGAACTTCTGCACGCAGTTGTATGTATTAGCTCATTGACGATTCGTCAATGAGTCGCCGATTTTTCTGATCCCCAGCGCCCGGTTAAAAATGTCAAAATTTTTTACATCTTCAAAACGACTACGAAAACAAAACGGCCTGCTTTTTTACATCCTTTCCAATATTTTTTTATTGTATGGTAGAAAGTCCCGTGTAAAGAATGAGCTACTGTACATACGAACCGTATCCGAATTTGTTTAGAGAAAGGTTTGAAGCTCTAAAATCGTCACCGCGGCAAAAATCAATGACTTTAAACGTGCAAGCGCATATATACTCGTTTGGAATTGATTTATAAAAATATTATAAATCAATAAAGATAATAAATCAATTGAGAATTGATTTATTTCTCAAAGGGGTAACTGAGTTACCCCTTTGAGTTACTCCATTTTTTAGAGTGCATGCACCCAACAAATTTAGGGTTCGACTCATCACGCTGAATGAGGCACATTGTCACATGCAAGTCAATCAATCACTGTTTTTGATGACAGCTATTGACTTTAATTCATCCATGGTATGCATTGTGAAAGGACTCATCCCACAAATATGTATGCACCGATTTGGTGCACAGAACACTTACATTTTATTATTACGCCGTAAAATTAATTTCATGAGGCGCTGCCAATCATTTTCCTGATGGGCAAATCCACTTATCTGTTTATTGTTTGTATATAAAAGCATCTTCGCTTCGATTACGGGGCAGCAGTCTGTCCATAACCAGCAGCCATTAATCATGTCGAAACGTATTCTCGCCCTGACCTTGTTTGTTGTTGGTTGCCTGGGGCACGGTCGAATTGATGATCCCCCTCATCGCGGAACATTATGGCGACATCCTGAGTACGCCTGGGCTAACCCGGGACACATTGCGGACGACACGGAACTGCATTGTGGTGGTGAACAGGTAAGATAGACGTGTAAATAATTATGACCCATACCTGTTCAAAAAATATATATTTCTTCACTCAAAATTCATTCAATTTAAAAATTAGAAAAAAATATTCATGCATGTCTTATATAGTCAAAATTTTAAAGCAAATATTTATTTTGGTATTCAATATTCCTCATTTTATCTCAAATTGTCGTATTAGAATGATTTAATTCCATGCATTTCGAATTTAAAGTGAAATAAGAATTATGAATAAAATTAGTCATTCATTCTTCATGAACATGAAATGAAAATTTATTCAATATGTATTCATTCAAAAATTTTGAAAAAATTCTCCCCCATTATTTAGAAATTTATGAAATAATGAATGAATAATTTACTCATTCCTAAGTGAATAAATGAATGTGAACAGGTATGATCGTGTAATTTTAAAGTAATTTTATGTACTCAACCGTTGTGTCATTTCAAATTTTACTCAAATTAATTTCTTATTTTTTAAATTTATGATAGTAAATTTATTTTTTATCTTTTTAGTTATAATTTTTTTTTGTATTTAAATTAAATTTATGTTTTAGCATTTATTTCTGTTTATTCAAAACTACAATTAAAGTACTTTTGTCCTAGGTCTCCTATCCAAACATAAACGCATGCGGCTTCTGTGGCGACCCAATCACCCAAGCGCTTCCTAGGCGTCACGAAATCGGCGGTGAACACGAGCGCGGTCTGATCGTTCGAAACTACACTGTTGGACAAACCGTCGACGTTCAAATCCACTGGCAAGCCGTGCACGGTGGTTGGCACGAATTCCGTCTTTGCGACTACAGCCGGACCGGGTACGAGAGCGAGACTTGTTTCCGAGCAAACCCACTCCGTTTCGGGGACGGTTCCCTTCGAGTGTACGAGATTGACCGGCAAGGTGTCACCAGCCTACAAATCCAACTACCCCAAGGACTCAGCTGTGACCGGTGTGTACTTCAATGGGAATGGGCCGCCGAGAATGGACAGTTTTACAGAAATTGTGCCGATATTTCTATTCATTAAGGATATTCAAGATTTCGAGAATTCTACTTAAATGTTAAAAGCATTATAACCTCTGTATCTTTGATTAAATCAGTAATTATTTGCTGAAAATAGAATGTCTCACCGTGTACTTAACCTTAGAAATGAAGTGTCCATACCGCTTGACAGGTTCAAGGAGCAATCATCAGCCGTAAGAGAGGCACAGCATGTACATACTCTACATTTACATAAAGTTGAACTTTTACAGAAATTCCGAGAAATTAAGCCAGTCAATCTCAAATTCCCTAAATTTACGTTGACAGGTGACTTTGAGACTGATCCTGAGCGTAGTGCAGTTTCTCAGAATTCTCTCAATTTCTGTATAAATTGAACTGTGCATCAATGGAGAGTACGTACGTACATACTTTCCTTCCAGGCAGGATTGAACTCTTTCAGAAATTGAGAATTCTGAGAAACTACGCCATATTGTTAGTCTCAGATGAATTTTAGTTATGCTGAGAGGGGAATTTGAGACTTAAAGTGGGTCAGCTTCTCAATTTCTGTAAAAGTTCAATCCTTCGTGGATGTAGAGCATGTACATATGACACTTGCCTACACATTCCAGGCCACACTTACTCGCCCTCGGGCTTGAACCAACATCCTTAATTGTTCAGGTAATCATGTTATTTAAACCCAAGGGAAGGGATGCCTTGAATGGTGAAAAAATGTCGCTTCAAGTTACTACCCTTTGCCATCGCGTGAGACCATTTACCCCTCAGGCTTCTCACCAACATTCTTTATCCTCCTTTTCTAAAAATACATTAGTTCTGAGATTTATACAATATGTGGATGTAAATATGTAACCCTTGAGAAGTTTGGTTTAAGACTTTCAACCTGGCAGAGGTTGTAAACTTCGTCACCATTCCACATTTTTCCGTTTCAAAACGGACATACTCAATATGTAAGTAGACACATAGATACATATTTACATATTACCAACAGTGTTTCGCTTTTGCCGGCTAAAATCGTTTTTTGTTGGCCAGTGGTCAAAAGTGGTCAAAAGTGGTCGAAAATGGCCAAAATGGTAGAAAGTGGTCAAAAGTGGTCAAAAGTATTCTATTGGCTAATTGTTTGCGCGGCGGGGTTAAACAGACTCTCGGCCAGTATTATTTATTCTTTGCACAAAGAATAATCATAGTTCTTACAAAGTAATTGAAATATTCTGTAATAATTACCAATCTAATAAATTCAACGTGGACAAATGTAGTAAGTAATTTATACATTTGCTCGATACTTGAATATTTTAATTGCTCATTTAATTGGTCAATTCATAACTATTCCTGTGTCAATTATTAATGATGCAATGTGTAATTTATTGCTTATTTGTATAGTTAATAACCAATTTTAAAATTTTAGATCCAATCAAACATAGATAAGTAGCCTTCAACTTGCTCTGCTAGATCCTGATGAAATCCTGAATGTCAAATCATTAATTTATCATTCTTCATTGTCGCACAATGCCCCATTTTTGCATTTTGGCCACTTTTGGCCAGTTTTGACCACTTTTGACCATTTGCCACCTATTCTGGTAAGTGGTCAAAAGCCACTTTTGGCCGCTTTTGACCGGCGGTCTGGCCAATCTGGTTTTTGCCAAGCGAAACACTGATTACCAATTCGGTGGGAAACAAAGGGATAATTTTAACCAATTCAGCAAAGGAAAGTGCAATTTGAACTTATTTGCTCAATTCTTTTTGTAAGACTGGCAGATTTTGAATATCCACGCCCAAAAAATACACGGGCGTCTCCCACATACTTAAAAACGTTCAGCACAAAACACCACATGGTCATACACGACTCTGATGCGAAAGTGCAATGTGAGGTAATCATCAAAATTCAAACTATTTGTAACATTTAACATTCAACCAACCGCTTAAATACATCAATTTCCACTTTACTCCTTAGATCTGCGAGAAAATGTTGAAAACTCCAGCAACCTTACACAACCACGTAAAATGGCTCCACTCGAACCGGGACCGACCCAGTTGTGACATTTTCCATCGAGTATTTTTAAAACATGCAACTCTTCGTAGACATATGGACACCGTTCACAGCAAAATCGAACGACCTCGTTTGCCATGCGGATATCCTGGATGTGAAAAAACCTACTTGCGTAGGGATGATTTGTCACACCACGTAAAAACTGAACATGTCGAAAACCCGACCCGATTTCCGTGCACCCTTTGCGGTAAAGAATTTAAAGTCAGGAGCAAACTTGAGAGGCACATTTCCACCCACACGACGGAGAAAGCGTATACTTGTTCCACTTGTGGGAGGAGATTCGCTAGCCAGACAGCCATGAAAACTCATGAGGTAGGAATAAATAGTCCTCTTATTTAAATAAATATTAGGCTACGTAACAGGAAGGAAATTCATATATATTTATTTACAGGTTACACATTTGGAAAAATCGACCCGAAGGATTTTCAAGTGTGCACTTTGTCCTGCAACTTTCTTAAGTAAAACAGCCTTACAAAGGCATGGCCAAGTTGTGCATGAAAATCGCAGGAACCATCCGTGCACCTTTTGTGACAAAAGATTCTCGACACAAGGCAAGGTGAGACTTCACGTGGAGGCGAGACACCCCACGAATACGGAGAAAATTCATTCTTGTGACCAATGCGAGTACAAAAGTCACTTGAAAGAAAATTTAGACCGACACGTGAAGCGTCACAATCCACCGAATCCACAAGAGTGTTACTTCTGCCAGAAGCGGTTTGTTTACTTCTCGGGATTGGTGAGACACTTTGGTCGGCATACTCTAGAACCCAGAAAATTTACGTTTGTCTAGGGTATCTATGTAAGTATTTAATAAATATAATTGGGATTTGCACACTAACAAAATTTTGGCTGGTACTAATAGCAAATTATTGAAACTAATTTAATGTAATTTAATAATGTAATTTAATTTATTTACAATACTGGAGCGGCGTGATCTATTTTTGCTTAAATATGCGTTCCGCATATTTAAGCAAAAATCCCACGGCTAGCAGTACACCACAACGCTTATGGCCCCTATTTGTAGTACCTCGATACCGCACAGCGCTGGGCCTCAATTGCTTAATAGTATGTAAGTGCGTCGAAGTTGTGGAACTCACTCCCAGTGTAACATTACATACCCAAAATTTGTTACACAATGTCGAGAGTTTATTATTGGTAGAAGAAATTCCACTTATTGTTAGTTATTCATTTATATTTTGTCTACCTTATAGATATTATTTACATAGTCTAGTTGCTATTTAGAGTATATGTATTTTGTGTCATGGTTTGTAAACCAGTTTGTAATTAGCTGATATCTATTGACACTTGAATAAAAGAACACTTGAACTTGAAACTTAGGAAATTGCTTGCAAATAAATACATAGATTCAGCTTTGCTGAAATTTTCATGCATACAATGTGTATTTATATGAGACAATTTATTACTTACTTACTGAATTGTTGCTTGCCAGTGCCTGGAGTGCTTCAAAGGAAACAATTGGTGGATGGTTCGTGAGCGATGATGGGCAAAACAGTTTTCTAGTTGAGTTGTTGAGACACTTTAGCGTAACTCGGTCAGAATCATTCTTGTCTTAGTAATCCCCAATCCACTAATTTCACTATTTCGTCTTTCATACTTTGGCTTATGCCAAAGATAACATCAAAGGTAATGCATACGTCAGTTCATATATGTGTTGCATATGCTGTGCAAATATATGTACACATATCTCGATAATTAAATTAATATAGGGCCTCCTCCGACACACGAAAAAATTGTCGCTTCGAATTTCGCTTCGTTTTTCGCTTACTTCCTGATAAGCGAGCTCTGGGATAAGCGAGCAGAAACTAAACTCGGAAGTGGAGTTAAGGTCGGTTAGCTGGAGTTGGAATAAAATTTTGCAGTTTTCATAATTTTTGCCATGCTATTGATAAGCGAAAAACAAGGCTAAATTCGAAGCGACGATTTTTTCGCGTGTCTGAGGAGACCCATGGTTATTTAGAGATTATTGTAAATTGTGTCGTCGTCATACTCGAGAACAGAGATACTACAGAAAATTTGTTGTGGCTCTTGTCTGATGTAATTATTTACCATGCGATATGAGCATATTTAGCTTACTACGCCCAGCTAAAATTTACGTGTACTTCTGTTCATACTTCAAATATTCCCAGAACGTTGATAACAAATAATAAACGAAAAAATGATCCATTTTTAAATACAGATCTTCACGTTTTAAAATGTAGTTGAGCAGGTTTAAAAATCGTCATTGGAATAACATGTACGTGGACCGAGGGAAAGTTGTGCACATTAAAAATTCGAATCCCAAACTCAACTGCAATATCACCTTAATTCTAATGTTTCAGCAAATCCAACTACCAAATATTTTGCCAAATTCGGACCATCGCAGAAACTGACTGAAGAAATGTTGGTTGTATTGACCTGGACCACATAATTTCGAAATTTCAACCAAATCAGAGGGTTACACTTCACACCATGGCATTGTTAGTCGTTAAGAGGTTAACCTTATTTTTACAACCAAAACAAGCGATGCCTTACATGCTGGTAAATATATTCCTTCAAGTCACCCTACCCTTTTGCATGCAGGCCATTCATATCTTTACTCGCCTCAAGCTTCATACCAGTACCCTCTTCTAAAAATACACTTGGTCTGAAATTAACAGATAGAAGAAAACCTATTTACAGAAGTTTGGGTTTAAACGTTCAACCTGGCGGAGGGGATAGTGTAAAGGTCCCCATTCCAGCATTGGAACATTGGTTCATTAAAGTACAGAATAAATTAACACACACATTTACATATGTATTACCGATACGGTGCGAAACGCTGGGAGAATCTCAACCAATTAGTGAATGTAAGAAAAGTGCAGTTCGGCTTTGCATATTTGCTCAATTATTTTTCCACGTAAGACTGAAGGATTTCGAATGGATCCAAGTAGTGAAAATGGATGGACGTGCTCCACGTGCTTAAAAACGTTCAGCACAAAACAAAACTTAAAGCGTCACATGGTCACGCACGATCCTCAAGCGAAAGTGAAATGTGAGGTAAGTAATCATACATATTTCCAGAATTATACTACTTTTAACATTCAACCAACCGCTTAAATACATCAATTTCCACTTTACTCATTAAATACATCTGATCTGCGCAAAAATGTTGAAAAATCCACCAACCTTACACAAACATATAAAAACGGTTCACACGAACCTGGACCGACCCAGTTGCGACATTTGCCATCGAGTATTTTTCACACCTGGAAATTTACAAAGACATATGGATACCGTCCACAGCACAATCAAACGACCTCGGTTGCCATGCGGATTTCCTGGATGTGAAAAAACCTACCTGAACAAGAGAGATGTCTCGATGCACATAAAATCTGAACATGCCGAAAACCCGACCCGATTTCCGTGCACACTTTGCTGTAAAGAATTCAAGACCAGACGAGAACTTGAGTCACACATTTCCACCCACACGACGGAGAAAGCGTACACTTGTTCCACTTGTGGGAGGAGATTCGCTAGCCATACGACAATGAAAACTCACGAGGTAGGAATGAATAGTCCTTATAAGCAGGGTATGCTACTCTGGGTTTTAGGGTAGCAAATTTTAGCAATACCCACGGCTAGTTAGGGGAGTCGATGCTTTTAAATTTAATAAACTGATAACACGGCATTGCCAAGTAAAAATTCCACAAAATTATTAGGTATAAAAATTAAATTACTAACAATGCAAGTCTTTCACGTGTACAACTCGGATCTGGTTGGGACCAATTTTATTTTGTTCACCACAAAAAAATAAGCACACTCGCATTTTTTCATTTTTTCTAATGCGCTAATTTGAGCGCGTGGCGCGAATTTTAAAACATTTTTCAGCCAAAACCTCGGTTTTTAAAAAATTCTGTAAATTTTCGGATTTTAGTGATAATCCAAAAATTCGAGAACATGTCTCTTCAGAATGACTTACCTGACTTACGAAGAATCTAGTTGTCTCGAAATTTGAATTTCAAATTTTTTGCCAGTTTCTAAAATTCATTAAAATTATAAACTCTTCCAAATTTTCAATTTTTCAAACATTAATGCATTTGGATTTTTATAAGTCAAATAAGTCATTCTGAAGAGACATGTTTTCGAATTTTTGGATTCGCGCCAAAGTTCGAAAATTTACAGAGTTTTTAAAAACCGAGTTTTTGGCTGAAAAATGTTTTAAAATTCACGCCACGCGCTCAAATTAGCGCATTATGAAAAATTAAAAAATATGGGTATGCTTATTTTTTGTGGTGAACAAAATAAAATTGGTCCTAACCAGATACGAGTTGTACACGTGAAAGACTTGCATTGTAAGCAGTTTTGTCGCGAAATTACTGAACAAGTAAATTGTTTCACAACATAATACATGCGACACTGACTCAATTTGTCCCGAAAACCCCGACTACCCGCAAAAGTGCAAAACCCATGTAAAACCCCGGAGTTTTCCTTACCCTGCTAATAAATAGATAGGTATCAGGCTACGTATGTAATAAGAAGGAAATTCAGATATACATACTTATTTATTTACATAATTTACAGATCATACATTTGGAAAAATCTACCCGAAGGATTTTCATGTGTGAACTTAGCCCTCACATTTCTTCACGTAAAGCTGACTTACAAAGGCATGTCCAAATTATGCATGAAAATCGGAGGAATCATTCGTGCACATTTTGTGACAAGAGATTCTCGACACCAACCAATATGAAAAATCACGTGGAAGCGAGACATCCCACGAATGCGGAGAAGATTCATTCATGTGACAAATGCGAGTACAAAAGCCACTCGAAAGGAAATTTAGCCCAACACTCGAGGCGTCACAATCCCGCGAGACGACGAGAATGCTACTTCTGCCAGAAACAGTTTGTCTTCTTTTCGGAATTGGAGAAACACATTCATCGTCATACTCTAGAATGGTGGTGATTCATTAAATTTACGCCCTTTAGGTTAAATGGAAATAGTGTTGTATGCAAAATGCATTATGCAAAGTGACATGTACGTAGGTGTTTTATTATTGATTTTCAAAAGGTATGTTCCGCACTGTTTCTGACCAAAGTTTTGATGAAATAATAAACTTCGAATACATTTAGGAGGCTGTGATTTTTTTCATCCCTGTGGGTTAACATAAACGCTGGCAATAAATCGGCAAACTTTACCTCGGCGGAAAAAATGTCAGATTTGCAAATTAAATATCGTAGTGTGATTTAATTTTTAATGCTGGATGGGTAATACGTGTCGCAGATTTATGATCGAATGCTTAAAATTTACGATGAAAACTGCCCAACACAAAACACAAATTCAATTGGGTCAATAATTTTAAATGATGGCGAAAAGAGATCTCGGACAAAAAGTCGCCAGGACGCTCAAAATCCGTTTCTTCCACAGAAAGGCTCCGGAAACTAGAGGAACAAATAATGAGAGATCCGTGATTGAAACTGTCCTATTTAGCAGATGAGATGGGTGTTTCAAAAACAACAATTTGTTCCATGTTAACTGAAGACTTCGGTATAAAAATGGTTTCCGTCCTTTGGGTACCAAAATTGCTTTCGGCATCTCACAAACAGGACCGAGTCGACTTTTGCAATGCCAATTTTAGCCTATTAAATAAAGACTTGAATCTGCTCAATATTTTATTAGCTGGATATGGTACTTGGGTATACTATTATGACCCGGTGACCAAATAATAACTCATTCAGTGGTAGCACGAGGGGTTGCCACCGCCCGTGAATTGAAAAGTGCAAAAATCTGACAAAAAATTGATGATGACCATTTTCAAGGATACCAAAGGTCTCCTCCTTATAAAATTTATTGCTGGAAATACTACAATAAATGGGGCTGTGTGTGCAGGAACCCCGATGGTGCTGCGTCCTGCGGTTAAAAAGAAACGTGGGGTCAAAATAAAGAGTTGGCCTTTTTTTAGACGACAACGCACCACCAAATACCTGGCTGTTTTAGAGGGCTGCTGCAGACGAAAATCTCTTTACCTGCACAAACCACACCCCGTGCAGTCCAGACTTGACCCTTAGTGATTATTATTCGTATCGAAACTTAAAGAAAGACATCAGGGATAAACGGTATTCGGATGATAATGAAATCAAGTCGTAAATTTTGGCATATTTTCGAGGTAAATTTTGATGAGTTGTTGCTAGCGTTAATGATAACTTACAGAACTGAAAAAAATCACAGCATCCTAAATGTATTTGAAGTTTGTTATTTCATCAAAAGTTTGGCCAGAAACAGTGCGGAACATACATTTTGAAAATCAATAATAAAACACCCACGTACATAACCGTCTAGGATATCTATTAAAGTAGATAGTTTGGATAATTGAGAGTTTGAGATTTGTTGTGGTTCGATTGTACACTGTAAATAATCTGGTAATAAACATTACCGAAAGGCACAAGTATATGACTCTATCAAAGTGGTAATGATAAGTTGTACCGTGTGGTAATGACTTGGTAATAAAGTTTCACCATCATGGTAACGAATTTTTACTACCTGGTAAAATATTATTACGAAATTTATTACCGAGAAATCATTACCTGCGTGACTTTACCGAATTATTAAGAGTGTATGTATGTATTTAAATTGTACTGCAGTGCTGCTGGTACCAATAGCAAATTATTTAAAGACATAAAATCGTTTGGAAATAAATAGATTCAACTTAACAACTTTACATGCATACACTCAAATCCACGTACATACTTACATATGTGTGTATACACAGTGTATGTATGTAAATACATGCAATATGTATGTATGTATAAATGAGACCATTTATTACTTTGTTTCCCATACCTTATGAATTTTATCGTGGTTTATTTGTGCATGCACTTATTTCTCTGCGAGCATGATTTTGGCCTTGGCGTTATCTTCACCATGAAAAAACTACACTCTTAATAATTTTTTGATAAAATTGTTACCGGTGGAGATACTATACAACTCTACCGCGTGGTAACACTATAGTAACAAATTGTCTTCTGAGGGTAAGAAGTTGCCTCCGGTATCGGTAATATTTTTGTTACCTGAGCGTTGACATAGGGGCTGAGCAGGATTTAGCCTCTGTATATATGCTACCCTTCGGTGATAAATTATTACCCGAGCGGTAGAGTTGCATAGTACCTCCGCCGGTAACAATATCGTCAAAAAATTATTGAGAGTGTATATTTGTTGGGCGAAAGTGCTTATGTATGTAAATATGCATAAATACGTATGCTATGTAAAAGTGCTGCATTAAAATGTAATTATTTTTATATTGTATGCATTTAAAAAAACTGGACTCGATCTAAAAGAAAATGCGAACCGATACATTCATTTTCATATTAACGAACTTTTCATCGTTTTTTTAAATTATTTTACTAATTTTTCACCTGGCTACTTAAATAAATTACAATAACACCATTACATCACTTCTTTCCCACTCCGAACTCTCTTTGCAGGTCTGTCGCAAGATTTTGTAGTGTGAGGTCCTCAAACGCTGCTTGCTCTGCATCGTCCTGAAACGTCACATCATTTTGAATATCTCCGCCGATGCAAGTGGGCAAAAATTGTTTATCCGGAACCATCCCGTGAATCACGGTTAGGTCTTTTTTTATGACATAAACCTACAAAAATAAATTCACACATTTTGTCAGATTTGCACAAATTAAATGTGTATGTATACCTACATATGTATGCGAAGGGTGGTTTAAATGCCACGCTAATATCAACGCAGTTTTACCTTACCCAAAATTTGGTTCCCGCTTTAGTATCCCCACCATACCAGCGCGGGATGGGAAAAGATAAACTGCGTTGATACTACAATGGATAATTTTTCAATGAGGAGAGCCCCTCGATCCCCATTATTTGCAAGATTTGGGATTGAGATTTTTCTTAAACCGAGGGAAAACTGATGACAAATTCCCAAAATGTTGAATTTGGTACACAAAATTTGGTAACTAATGCAAATTTGCGAATTTTTTCTATTGACAAATTTTCAGTTGAAGCGTGATATTAAAAACCACCCTGTATATGTATTATTGAGAGTGCATTTAATTTTTAAAAGTATATGTAAATCACATCCTCACATCTTTCCTCGCCCTTTCCGGGATCGCATATTTGACCACGCTGTAAATCTTCTCCATCAGGTAGGAACTATTGTACAAAACGTAGCAAACAAATCGGATCGGGGACGAGTAGACCATGACGGCAAAAAGCTTTTTGACAAAATCGTATGAAAGTTGCCGAGCATGATTAAACCCAAGGCCATCAGTGTCCATCAAAAAGAGAATCCCATTCCTCTGGATGTCCTTCGAATTTCGCACGAGTTGGTAGTAGTACACGATTCCGACAGCGATCAATTGGTCTGTGGAGACTTCGGATGGTTCCCAATTTTCTGTTAAATTTTAAAGGAATTATTTAAATAAGTATACATAAATGTGGAGTAATTCGCGCAATCCTTGAAAATCCACAAACTTGCAAACTTTTGCAAATATTTCGAAGGAAAATTGACTAACTAATTTTTGTAACTTTATTCGGTTAAATTAGGGGCGCCTATTAATTTTGTAACATTGTTGTACAAATATTACACATTTATGTATGTATGTAGGACTGCGTGAATTGCTTCATTTATGTATGAGTAAAGTAAATTGTTGAAAATTCCCTTACTAAAATGAAAAATTAAAATCCCCGGATTCCTTGGACTCGAGTGCTTCACCAGGGTGAAAAGTTTCTTGTCCAAAATCGGCTTCAAGTCGGTCAGATTTAGAAGCCGAAATAAGTCCGGGTAAGTTTCCGTTATGCAATTTTGCAAGGAATTTATCTAGTCACCAAAAACTTAATCGAGGTTTTCATAAAGGATTCGCATCTCAACAAATTAAATAAAAATATTTTATAATAATTTTATACATTTGTAGTACTGAGTGAGCGTAATCAGTTCAAATAGAAATCTACATAATTTTGAAAAAAATGTCAACTAAATTCTAGTCATGGAGTCCGCAAATGAATTTTCGACCCAAACTTTTATGGAAACTTGTCAACTTTTTTTTAGTCGACATTGATAATTATGCGAAATAGTAATGAATTCTCCTCGTATAACCCTTAGTTTAGGTTAGTTAACCAATGTACATAAGCTTTAAAGGGTTATATTTTTTAATGGACACGAATACTTTTTTTAAGCCATGCAATTTTAAACCCACCACTCTCATGACGGAGGTTTGGTTGAAATCGTACGTTCTGATGATCATAAGGAGTAACTTGTCCGGCCAGAATGGCATCATTGGTCTCAATTTCTCGCTTCCTGTAAAATGTATTTTTATGTTTTGCCTTTCTTACAAAATACTGCACTCTAAATAATTTGGGGATAAATCGTCACGTTCTTACGTAAGTTCTCTAGTTGTGGGCAATGATTGAGGAAACGGTTTCTCACCAACGGGAAACCAATCAAAGGCTCAGGTATGAAACACCGTCCGCGGCGTCGTAAGTTTTTTAATGTAAGATTAAGTGGATTTTTGTAATGTATCTAAGATTTTTTACGCAAAAATACTGATTTTTTATATTTAATTAATGACGTCAGTGGTCTTTTACACGAGCTCATGACTTATTTCCCCTTGATGCCAAAACGTCTCCTTAATCATTAACCAAAAATAGAGCACCTCCACAGATGAACATTTGTCTCCAACTTATTTAGAGTGTGAGGACAATTATCTTTATAATTGTATTTATGTAAATAACACTTGCATACCAGCCATCATGTCACGCACGATTTTTAGATATTCTGTTTCCTTCTCATTTTCTAAACTTAAACTATTTCCAGCTTGATCAACCATTAAAAAATTGCAAAATTTTGATTTAGTTATGTATGTATATAATGTTAAATGAACAATGCCTGATATCTGTCTGAATAGAAATTGGGGAAATTTCTTAGTTATGTGTGCAACTTTGCAGATATTGCGGTGGTCAGAACTACACTGTAAATGTTATCAGGACACGAATAAATTAATTGCTTGTGCATACTTATCTGCTCAACGTCCCATGGTTGTATAATTTCCCTCGATTTAACTTACGCATTAATACATAAGATAGAATGTAAATACTTACGTAATGATGGGTTTATATAATTAGACAACTTGTACTACATGCATAAATCATTACATAAATACGCTCTTACATCTGCTCATCGTCATGACGTGCATGATTATATAATTGTCATTGACTTATCTTTGAATGGATGAATGAATGTGTGAATATGCATTTCTCTCTCGCTACGAGTATATGTACATACACTGAAGAAGTCCGGTGATAAGCGTGGCTTTGATGATCGGGGTTTTTGTTTTTACCATGATGGTGATGGGATGTTTCCATGCCGTTACCGGGTGGTCTGGCTATGAGTGTGTGCATACATACATACACCAATTAGGAAGTTAGTGAAAGCAATTCATATAATTTTTTCTAATGTTGTACTTTAACTACACTAAAATAATTTGGAGACAAATCGTCACCCGATGGAGGTACTATAGTGCTCTATTTTTTGGTAATGATTTAGGAGAGGTTTAGTCACCATGTGGAGATTAGCCAGAAACTCATGCACCAAGCACATGTTACGTCATGATTTAAAAAATTCAATACTGCCATGTAAAGAAAACCCTATTGTCAGTTAAAATGTTCACTTTTTTTAAATAATTTTACTACCAGTGGCCGCGGGAAATCGGGAGGATGGGAAAATCGTATAATCGATTGGACATTTCCTCCACTTCCACGGTCACTGTGTGAGACTCATAATCTGAAAAGCTCCCTCATTTCTAGTACATTTATCACATTTATTCCTTACACATATGTAGTCCCACCGGTATTTGCACATAAATATGTATATGCATAAGTAAACATGGATGTAACTTTATGTAAAAATGAGCACAACATTTGTGACCGTTTAATAACTTTCATTATTTTACCAACTTGAACCTGAGTTATATATTATATATATGAAAATAAATTGCTAAATACATCACTTCTTCCCCACTCCAAACTCTCTTTGCAGATCGGTCAGAAGATTTTTTATCGTGAGGTCGTCGAGCGCTGCTTCCTCAGCGTCCTCCTGAAACGCCAGGTCGTTCGGAACCTCTCCGCCGATGGAAGTGGGCAAAAACTGTTTATCCGGAACCAACGCGTGCAGCGCGGTCAGGTCTTTTTTAAGAACATAAACCTACAAAAATAAAATATTCAAGAAAGAAATTCAAACATTTTATAATAGGCTTTACCCAAAAACGTCATCTCACAATGAGGGTATTAATTTTTTATTCGCATCATTAATTTAGGTACGACGGGTGCAAGATTTTGTAAGCGTCGTAAGATTTTGTCTTCTAAACTCTCCTTACTACATAGATACTTAAGATTACTACTTTTTCCAAACTTGACCCCTTGTTTTTTCCTCCTAAGCTACTCTACTAAAGGTACACTGAAAAATTGAATACCCTCAATATATCCATGCAACTTTGCCGTGTTTGCGAGATCAGTGCCATATAAAAACGAGTGAGTTTAAATGAAAACATGTACATAAACTGAAAATGAGAAGAGAATGAAAATAAATTTTTAACGCGCATTTACGAAAAACTAGTTTACGATGACTGTTCTAAGCAATCTGATTAGTTGTGGAATCTTGTGACAAAAATTGAAAAGTTGCAAAGGTATTGTGCGGAGTGATGTTTTCCGCTTTTACGAAGTTGACGTGAATATCCTAAAGTATTTGCGAAAATTATCGCGAAAAAAATATATCTCCCCCTTACATCTTTCCTCGCCCTCTCCGGCACCGCATATTTGACCACGCTGTAAAGCTTTTCCATCAGGTAGGAACTGTTGTACACGACGTAACCAATAATTCGGATGGGGGATGTGTACACCATGCAGTACAGAAGCTTTTTCACCACATCGTATGAAATTTGGCGGGCATGGCTAAACCCAAGTCCGTCAGCGTCCAAGGCTACGATAATCCCATTTCTTTGGATATCTTTGGAACTTTGTCCTAGTTGAAGACCGTACACCGTTGCAACGGCGATCAAGTGGTCTACCGGGATTTCGGATGGTTTCCAACTTTCTGTTAATTTTTAAACGAATTATTTAAATATGCAGGTGTGATGTAAATATTTTGGTATGTAATTCAAATCTAAAAATCTTTTTAAAAAATTTCTGAAAATCTTGTTTTAAAACCATTGGTTTTTTACGCAAATTTTTCTAGGAATTGGGATTCCCAATTTGGGAATGATCTTATTTCGCAAAACTATTTCGCATACTTGTCCCCACCAGGAGAAACTACAGAAATCCATGGAAACGATATGAATGTCAAAATGTCAATTTCGATGTCAAAATGGGTGTTTTTTAATAGATTTTACAGATTGGCGAGATTTGTAACGTCGTATTTTGCAAATCCCCTCACGACAGAAATATTGTGGCCTCCGCAAATTTGCTAAATGATTTGCGAGGCGAAATAAGACGTTGTCGTAATCAGACTTAATCAGATCAAGGGAGTCTTCTAATTTTGTAAAATGTATGCAACATTAATTTGCAAACTTGCCAATTAGCCAGTGACTTTATCAATTTTAGCTAATCAATCCAAATCATAGATTTCACAAGTTACCAATCTTTGCGTGAATTGTCATTGTTAATTTAGATATCAACGTAAATCAAATAAAATTTCCTTACTAAATTCAAACGTTGCAACACCAGGATTATTTGGACTAGCGTGCTTCACCAGCCTGAAAATTTTCTTGTCTAAAAACGGTTTCAACTCGGACGGATTTATAAGTCCAAATAAGTCAGGATACTTTTCAATTATGCAATTTTGCAAAGACATTACCTGTGGGTTAGTAATAAATTTAGTTAATCAGCTAAGAAAAATCAATCAGCATATTCATAACAAATTCGCATCACAATATAAATATTTTGTTAAAAACAACTTTGAAAATAAAATAAATTTCTTAAAGGAAATAATTTGCAAACCAAAATTATTTGTGATTTTTTGCTTATGTTTTTAAGAATGTGAACGAGTGATGAATATTCCCATCCCCCATACAAAATTAATCATGGATGTAAGGTTTGATTAGGTTTAAGAAAAATATATGTGCATATTTAAAAAAAAATGCAAACATGCTTTTTTGAACCTCGCAAATTACATTTTGCTAGTGATTTAATTTTAAACCCACCACTCTCAAGACGTTTGTAGTGTTGAAATCGTCTGTCCGGATGAGCATAAGAAGTAAATTGTCCGGCCAGAATTTCGTCGTTGGCTTCAATTTTTCATTTTCTGGCAGAGGGTTTTTATATATTTATATTATATCATTATTCAAAAATGCAAAAAAAATAATAAAACTGGAAACTTATTAATTGCAATTGTACTTGAATACCTGCCATCAAATCACGAACGGTTTTTAGACACTCCGTTTCCTTGTCATTCTCTAAGCTTATCACCACCAAATTATTTTCAGCTTGATCCACCCTTGTATTTTTAAAGTTTGGTTTAAATTGCAAAAATTTTAGTTATAATCCAGGGAAAAATTATTACTTAATGCTGTGAACTGAATGATGATTGATACCGGACTGAAAAGAGTTGGGACATGTTCTTTATTTGTACACGTTTGCATTCCGATGGTCAGAGTAGAATTGTGAGTTATGTATAATGCGATTCCGATTTCAATCAATTTTTTCGTGTATGTTCTGATTACGTTTACAGGTTGTCAGCGTAGTCAGTAAACACAAAAATTAATTGATAGTGACTTATCTGCTTAACTTACCTGATTCGTCTCCGGTCACTCTGTATAAATACTCCCGTTTCCATAACCGTTGTATTGCAGAATTTTCGTTCCATAAAAGTATAAACCACCACTTTTCATAATACATTTTCTCATAAATTGTAAAAAAAGAAATCGGTAACTTCTGATTAATGAAAACTAAAATCATGTTGTTACATCATCCCATTATTGCATACATAGATATATCCATACATAAATAAACCCTTGGACAACTGGTATTACATAAATCATGTCAGCCCATAAATCATTCTATTGGCATTGTATGCATGATGTACATTACCGTTTAATAATGTTGTGGTAATGGAAAATTTACCCGTCAGAAGCAAAATGTTACCAAATCTCGTATGAAGTTATTACCAAATCGATACTTGTATATGTATGCACAAATGTATGTAAATGTGTATATATTTATTGCAGCGTCACGCACATATTTACATTCAGACTATAAGTACTTTGTGGGAAGTAAAAGCACTCCCTAATGTTCCATTATCCGAAGAATAACATAGCCCAACTTTTTTGGTGAGAAACAACTCAAAATGTCAGTGATTTAAAAAAAATTGAAAACTGAAATTTCTAGACAACTCGAAAAAGCTGTCGAGGCATGGCATTCATGAATGCAAAACACCTCCATCTTTGAAAAAGTACCTACCGTTTTATTTTCTATGAATTTCCCCGTACGACCCTCATCGAAGGCACATATGACCGACCATTACCCTCACTGGGGTTACCCGACACCCGAAAGTCTCAACAACTTTTTCCTACCAATGTGACTTATCAATATACTGAAAGTATACCTTAAAGGTGCGTTTATGCTTCACGTTATCGTTATGTCCTCCTCAAAATCCGATTTTTTGATTGGCTGAGCGAAATTGTCACTACCACAATTAAAAATTTTAACCAATCAAAAAATCGGATTTGGAGGAGGACGTGACAGTGACGTGAAGCATAAACACCACTTAAGAATTGTCGTTGAATGTTGTTGTCAAATCGTATAATTCTTGCTCAAAGTCCAATTTGATAAAATCACAAAGCGGCCGCTAAAAATTGCCGTGAACTGAAGAAGGAACTATTCCACGCACTAAAAACCGATTACTTTATTCCATTATCCATCACAAGTTGGAATCTTTACGTTGGACGTGATCGATTTGGTCATACTTTGAAAATTATTCCGTCTTGGATTACTGCGCCGCAAATTAATCCTACATCGTGTTTTCTTGTACCGAATGAATTGCAAAATTTTAATAAATCGTTCCCAAATTAATCTAACCTTCTTCGCGATATTTGTCCTATTGTGTTTGATATACTCGATCACGAACAAGCCGAAACATTCCGCTAGACAGGTGACGAGCAGAATGAAAACAGTTTGAATATTGTCGCCCAGCCTGACCACGCGAAATAAGGTTGTTTCATACCGAAATCTGTTACTTTTGACCTCCCTTTCGCGTAATATCGTCGCATTTAGGCTAACCTGACGAGAAACCTGGTTGTAAATTCCTGAACTCAAAAACGTCTTAAGGTATTGCAGCATGCGTGATTCCCGCCAAACTAGAAAAATAAAACCAGTCGCAGTTTCAAAAATTGTTTTCTTCCCGCGGTACAATTGTTTGGCGGGATAATTTCTCCTCAGATAGTCATAGTAGGTATCCACATCACTTGATAGTCCCGCAAAAGCTGATCTGTCGCACTGCAATAGCTCCTCCTCAATCATCCGATTCACTCCGTAAAAGGCTGCCTTCTTATCTAAAAGGCTCAATTTCTCCGGATACCAGCGAATCCTTGGGCTCATAATGGAATGCAGTAATCGAAGCAGATGTGGCGGGTATTTCGAAAGAGAGACATCGAGGCAAACTTTGTCACTTAAATAGTCTGCTAATTTATAAATTTTTGAGTGTGATGGGTATTCAGACAAAATTGTGTAGCAGAATCCCCCCAAATTCCTCGCAACCTTAGCAGCTGTCAAATCCTTTTTGTTGTAACGGTCCATGCCAGAAACTGAATTACATCTGTCGAGGAGCGTATTGTAATTTATCATTGTTTGCGGTTTCTCTGGACACAAAATTTGTTCATACGTATCACCTCGTTCCCCGGGAAGCGGTGAGTTTAAATTAATTATGAAACTACTAAGGTAGCACGTGCTTAGCAACATGCCGACCAGGAGGGAGGGAATACTTAAGAATCGGAAGGGTAGGAAATTACTCAATTTTGTAGGCAACTTCTCCACCTCATCGACGAGGAGACCGAAAAAGTAAAAGAACAGTTGAAGCGGGTAGAATTCTCTGTTAAAAAGGTAAAATCCTAACGAAATGAGGAAACTTGATAAGAGCAGCGTGATAACAGTGACGAGCCAGACGATCGGATCGTAAGGTGCGAAATACAGGGAAAACGAAACTCCCCTCGGAAACATGGAGCAAGAGATAAATGACAGGCCGGGGAAACTTGTGATAATAATTTGGCTGTTGACTAGAAACAGGGGTGTCATCCAATTACCTTCGTAGTCGTAGTGATACTTCGGGTAGAAGCAGGCTTCGGTGAGATCCAGGTAGCAGTCCATACCATCACTGCGGTAGGATCGGGATGCATTAAGTTTATTCAAGGCTGTTTCAAATAAGATTTCAGATATTGGGTCGCTCATGGTTAACTCTCTGTGGGCCCAGTGCTTCTCCGATCTTGTCGGGTAGTTTGACGGAGTCATTAAAATTGTATTTTTATTCAAAGTTGTAGCAGTCCATACGAAATTCTGTAGAATTGGATTTAAACTTGTTTGGTAACAGGATGTCACCCTATTTTCTGGGAGAAATAGTAACACCGCAAATTTCACGGGTAGTAACTGGTCATACTCGATTGGTTGTGTGTAGAGAGGGAACTGATAGGATTCCAATATTTTGGGGTTACTTGGAATTAGGATAAAATAAAAAGAATCGGGATAAATCTCATTAAACTCGGCTTCCATGCTTAATCTGACATAGTATTTACTTTGAGTAGTAATCCAATATCCTAGCGACCTTTGGTGTGATTTTGAATAATTTGGTGAATTTATTGAGGCAAACAAGATGACGATTTCGCAAAGCCAGCCCGGATTTTTAAGGATATCAAGGCGAGGGGTGATATCGGTTGGTGGGCTCGCTAACCATGAAGTAATAGAATTGTCCGGAAAGGATCGTTTCGTCAGGGTCAGTGGCACGTTACGGGTGGTTGGTAAGTTTGAAGTGGAAATATTGTTGAAGACGAGGTGATATCGACAAGAGGCGTGGGGCGATAGAACAGACGCCAAATTTATAGCGGGTAATGTAATCTTGGTTTCGATAAAAATAAAATTTACAGTGTAATAAAGTGCCAGTAATGTGGAGCGAGGGTGATTTGATTTCGTCATCGTTCTTACTATAATACAATTCAATTTTTCGGGATTTCGCTACAGAGGTACAAATCTTGCCGATAATACAAGTGTGATCGTGATCAAAACAGTCTTACTAAAATATTTAAGTTTAATACTCAGAAACGTATTTATACACGTATTTTAATTAGTATGAACTTTGACCAAAACTGAGAATAGGCAGGAATATTCCAAGAAATTTGGCTCTGCTAAGAGCTGAGCGTGTGTGATATAAGTAAGTCTTCAAATAGTGTGTGCTCACTTAACTTGAATAATTTATGTATTGATTGCGCGATGGATTAATGAGAAGACCGTAAGACAGAATTTAACATAATGGATAGAGAAATAAGTACATTTTGGAAATAACAAATATGCAAAGATTGGTTTGCCTAAATATGTCGCTACAAATGGAAAATTTTTCAAATGTAAGAGGCCATAAATTTCCATTAGTTGTGCGGTTTTGGAATTGAGATTTTTCCTGACTATTCAACCCTAATGTAAAACTAATGGAGTATATAATGAGAAAGTTCGTAAAATGGTGAATTTTAGAGGTAAAACTTAATGGAAATTTATGATTTGTCCCGTTGAAAAATCTTACATCGTACAAAGTGGTTTTAATGTAACGGCAGCATGTAAAATTTGTGAATTTCCATTAGTTACCGAAATTTTTTTCTGAAATTCAATATTTTAAGAATTTTTATCATTAGCGTTGTTAAGAATCAACAAAAATCTCAATCCCAAATTTCTAACTAGTGAAGATTTATGGGCTTTTCTCTTGGAAAAATTTCCCATTGCTGTGTGTTATTTAAACCACCCTGTTTGTAGGGAAAAATGTGACCCACCCATGTATTTGTGTACTTATTACATATTTCAATTTTACTAAATTTCAATTTTACTTAGGTATTAAATACATAAAATATTATATCGTCTTTACATCACTTCTTCCCCAGGCCGACCTCTCTTTGCAGGTCTGTCACAAGATTTTGTATCGTGAGGTCCTCAAACGCTGCTTCCTCAGCGTCTTCTTGAAACGCGTCGTCATTCGGGACTTCTCCCCCGACGCAAGTGGGCAAAAACTGTTTATCCGGAACCATCCTGTGCAGCACGGTTAGGTCTTTTTTGAGGAGGTATATCTACGAAAATTAAATAACAAAATAATACAACAAAAAATCCACACATTTGTACAAGTTATCGCTAAATATATGCACACTCTATAATGTTAACTTTTTTAAAACTTACAATTAGTTCACTCTGAATGAAATATTAAGTGAATTATACTAAATCCCGAGTAAAACTTTACTTTTTATCAAGTTAACGTTACTTAGGATTTAGTTTACTTAAGCTAAAATTCATAGTGCATTTACTTATCAAACGAGTAACATTAGTTTTAAGTCTCTGTAGAACGTTCGTATATTACGTCATTGCAAAATTGGCTGGTTGGTTTTGGATCGTCTATCTTACTCGTGTTAAGTTTAAATTGAGTAGGATATGTAAGGGTAAAGTGGGTGGTCTAATAATGGGCCTTTTTTGGTGACGTAATATATGAACGTTCCCTCCTCACATCTTTCCTCGCCCGTTCCGGCACCGCGTATTTGACCACGCTGTAAATCTTTTCCATGAGGTAGGAGCTATTGTACACAATGTAACCGGTAACTCGGACCGGGGACGTGTATACCATACAGTATAGAAGCTTCTTGACCAAATCGTACGAAAGTTGGCGGGCATGACTGAACCCAAGTCCGTCAGCGTCTACCAAAATGATAATTCCGTTTTTCTGAATATCTTTGGACTCCCGGCCAAGTTGGTAGTAGTACACGGTTCCGACAGCGATTAATTGCTCGATCGGGATTTCGGACGGTTTCCAATTTTCTATTAATTTTTATAAGAGTTATTTAAATATGTAGGTATGAATGATAAATATAAATATTAGACAATTCACGCAGATCTTAGAAACATTGCAAATTGACTGGATTCTTCAAACTTAAAAACTTATAAGAAATCTTACAAATATTTATAAGGGGAATTTGCTTACACCTTTTTTAAACTTACTCCAATCAACTGCGTCTCCTTAGTTTGTAAATGTATTTAAAATTATTCAAATAATTTTTAAAATTACAACACTTACACATTTTGCAATATTGCATAGGACCGTGTTAATTGCCTCATTTATTTATATGTATGTAAATGTAATTTTTTTTCAAAATTCCCGTACTAAAGTGAAACATTACAACGCCAGGATTCTTTGGACTTGCATGCTTCACCAGCCTGAACATTTTCTTGTCCAAAATCGGCTTTAGTTCGGACAGATTTATAAGTCCGAACAAGTCAGGGTACATTTCCGTTATGCCATTGTGCAAGGAATTTATCTGCGGATTAGGAACAAGTGTATTTAATTAGTACATATTACTAATAATAAGAACTGAAAAATAATCTTTATTAGTGACAAATGGCCGCGGAAAAGTGCGAACACAGGGAAAAGCTTGTCACGGTTATTCGATTTCTCCATCAATTACAAAAGTCGTGTCCTAGATTGGTAATTTCCCCAGATGTCCTCATGGCTTCCGAGGCCACTGTTTCTAATATAATTTAAACCTACCACTCTCAAGATGTTTGTCGGGTTGAAATCGTACGTACGGATGAACATAAGGAGCAATTTTTCTGGCCAGAACTGCATCAATGGCTTCAATTTCTCACTGTCTGTGAAATATATTTTTATCAATTTTGTAATTTGGCAAACTCGTAATTTTTGTAAGGCAAGCTTACAAACTTTTGCAAAATAAATAAAAAGGCGACCTTGCTCTGGGCAAGCGTAAAAATTTGGAAGCTACTAACAATGGAACCTTTTTTTCAAGCTACACCGGGATCGACTAGCGATTTATGTCAAAAAATTAAGCCAAAAATTAGGAGTCACAAGACGTTTATCTTTCCGTTGAGTAGCCCTTTTGAAGAAAATATTAGAGGTCAAAGTTCACACGAGCGCCTTGGTTTTCGCTCCGTGGAGGAAACAGCAAGAGAAAATTTGCTCAAAAATTGAACTTAACCGCCAATATTTTTCTTCAAAGGGGCCATTCAACGGAAAGATAAGTGCCACGTGACTCCTAATTTTTAGCTTGATTTTTTTGGCGTAACTCGCTAGTCGATCCCGGTGTAGCTTGAAAAGCGGTTCCATTGTAAAAAATATTTATAAAATTTTATAAATTTCCAAAATTTTATAGTTACTGCATGAATTGCTTTATTATCACAAAAATGTAATGGATGGGAATGCCTCAAATTTTATTACACTTGCTCACCTGCCATCATGTCTCGTACGATTTTTAGACACTCGGGTTCTTTCTCATTTTCTAGGCTTATCGAAACCAAATTATTTTCGGCTTGACCCTCCATTTTATTTTTGGATTTGGATTAACGTTGCGAATTTTTTAATTAAGATGCAGAGACAAATTATGGTGTTATACTGTTGAATAAATAAAGCTTGATATTGGACTGAATGAGAATTGGGACATGTTCTTTATTTGCACACGTTTTGGATTCCAATGTTCATTGTGATTACAATGTAAGTCAGATTTCAATTAATTTTTTCGTGTACTGATTACATTTAGAAGGTAGTCAGTACACGAAAAAATTAATTGATAGTGACTTATCTGCTCAAAGTTATGACACATATCATCACTCAATTGCCCTCAATTTATATACACGCATTATGCATTACATACGTAGGTGTTTTATTATTAATTTTCAAAAGGTATGTTCCGCACTGTTTCTGACCAAAATTGTGATGAAATAACAAACTTGAAATACATTTAGGAGGCTGTGATTTTTTTCAACTCTGTGGGTTAACATAAACACTAGCAATAAATCGGCAAACTTTACCTCGACGGAAAAAATGCTAGATTTGCAAATTAAATATCGTAGTGTGATTTAATTTTTAATGCTGGATGGGCAATACGTGTCGCAGATTTATGGTTGAATGCTTAAAATGTACAATGAAAACTGCCCAACACAAAACACAAATTCAATTGGGTCAATAATTTTTAATGATGGCGAAACGAGGTCTCGGGCAAAAAGTCGCCAGGACGCTCAAAATCCGCTTCTTCCACAGAAAGGCTCCGGAAACTAGAGGAACAAATAATCAGAGATCTGCGATTGAAACTGTCCTATATAGCAGATGAGATGGGTGTTCCAAAACCAGCAATTTGTTCCATGTTAAGTGAAGACTTAGGTATGAAAATGGTTTCCGTCCGTTGGGTACCAAAATTGCTTTCGGCATCTCAAAAACATGATCGAGTCGACTTTTGCAATGCCAATTTTAACCTATTAAATGAAGACCTGAACCTGCTCAATATTTTATTAGCTAAATATGGTACCTGAGTTTACTATTATGACCCGGTGACCAAATAATAATTCCCTCAATGGAAGCAGGAGGGGTTGCCACCGCCCGAGAATTGAAATGTGCAAAAATCTGACAAAAAATTGATGATGACCATTTTCAAGGATATCAAAGGTCCCCTCCTTATAAAATTTATTGCTGGAAATACTACAATAAATGGGGCCGCGTATGCAGGTACCCAGAAGGAGCTGCGTCCTCCGGTTGAAAAGAAACGTGGGGTCAAAATATAGAGTTGGCCTTTTTTTAGACGACAACGCTCCTCCTCATACCTGGCTTTTTGCGAGGGATAGTGCAGACGAAAATCGCTTTACCTGCACAAACCACACCCCGTGCAGTTCAGACTTGACCCTTAGTGATTATTATTCGTTTCGAAACTTAAAGAAAGACATCAGGGGAAAACGGTTTTCGGATGATAGTGATATGAAGTCGTAAATTTTGGCATATTTTCGAGGTAAATTTTAATGGGTTATTGCTAGTGTTAATGTTAACCTACAGAACTGAAAAAAATCACAGCCTCCTAAATGTATTTGAAGTTTGTTCTTTCATCAAAATTTTGGCGAGAAACAGTGCGGAACATACCTTTTGAAAATTAATAATAAAACACCCACGTACATACAATGTTGCATACATAACTGGTATTAAATCATTACTTGCCGGAGTAAATATGTACAATGTAACTCTATAGGATCATTTAAGTAAATATATATGTGCATATTTACATAATGTGCAATACGGTTTAGTATTTAGTGGTGGTAATGAAATGCTCCGGTTAGAAGTTACTACCAAATCAATATGTATCTGCGTGGAGTGCAAGAGGTGCCCGCATATTGTAAGTGTCAAGGTTTCCTCAATCGGTTCAACCTGTTAAAAATTAATTTGGCATATGTATAAAAACCATAAAAGGCATTAAATTAACCTTGAGTTTATTCTCGGCTGAATCTTATTTAATACCTTCTCTTAAAGAGAATCTCTTTAAATAAAATTATATAAGATTATGAGATTTGTATGAGGGTTGCATATGAGATTGGTGATAACATGTTTTTAGTAAAAACGTTTTAGTAAGTATAATGTTAAGTTTTGATGATAAAATTAATTTTAAACTTCGGTTTTAACTAATTATAATTATGAATTTTATATCAAATTTTATCTTGAACAATATTTATAATGAATTTGTAACACGAAAATAATGTAATATAAATATATTTTCCTAACCGTTTCAGGGTGCGACGCATATACGCATATTTCACTTGAGGTAGCCAAAGAGTAAGGTAAATTACAAAAGAGTAAAATTTTGCATAATGCTTACATTAAACCAGCAAAATTCCAGAACAAAGGTGAAACTACATATCGCCAAACAAATTCCACCAATATAAAATCCTGTTATAACTTTCGAATTGAAGTCCAACTTTGATACCGCATCGAATCTTGGATGCGTCCAATTTGCATAATGTCCCAAAACCTTGACAGGTTTCCATAATTTGTACAAAGTTTCCCAATGTGAAAAAATTCCCGATGTGATCATTAATTTGAGTCGCTGCTCCACATAACTATTTCGCACAGGAGGTATCGGCCAACCTCGAATCGCCGTAAAATATGTGTCCTCCCCTCGAAGATACTTTATATTTTCCGAATTATCGTTTAAAAACGCCGTAATCGCCGCAATATTCTCTTTTGTATCCATCAAAGCAACCTTCCCGCAAGTTGATAGTCTTTTCACAACTTTATTGTCTCGCTCCCGATATGAAACTGGCTGGAGTGGGGACTCACTTAACGTACTTTTATTGTAGAGTGGTTGATTAAACTTAAATTCGTACATCGAAAATGTCCCATTTCTATAATACCTCCCATCTGTCCCAATTCCAAAATAAGGAATAATAATTTTAACCAAACGACGCGCCATTTTCTGGAAAACTACGTTTCGTTTGTATCCTACATATCCCTTTGCGATTGGTTCAGACCGGACGAGGATTTCACTGAAGAATTGTTGATGACGAAAAAAATCGCCGTGAAGAACAAATCCTATAAATTTATAGAGGTTTGATTCAAACTCGTCTAAAAGATTGAAAGGCATTAGTACTTGAATGTCCTCGACGTCCATTACACTTTTCCAGGGTGACTCGTACTTTGTGGGGACGATCATCTCCATGGTGAAGTACGTCTTGTACCAATTGGTTAATATTGTCCCAACCAAAATGGTCCAGATCCCGATGATAGCACGAATTCTTGGGAGATCCAGGTTACAAGACAATTTTTTAAGATCGTAAATCGATAGGGAACTTAGGACTGAATTTTCTAGGGATATCCCAATTATAAGTAGCATCCCATCAGAAGATAGTCTTTTGCGTAGTATGGTCAAAATAATAGAAATCGATATAAAACAAATCACCAGAAAGAGCCAGATTTCCCAGTCGAACGGACTTGTTAGCGCGGTTAGTGTTGAATACGTAGATCTCACTTTGTAACAGGATACAAAACTAAATTTTTGCACGTCGTATGGAACAAATGAAAATCTTGGCCATGTGTTAGAAGGGCGGGGAAGCCGCTGAATTGGAGGAACTAAGTGGTGAGGGGACAAGCTTTTATAGTCATAGTGAAGCACATCTTGTAACAACCCGAAGGCGACAAACCCATTAAAATTGGTTAAAAGGGCGACATTATGATACCCTTTACGAGAAAGCTGCATGGATTTGAAATCAATCCGACCGTAAAGTTTGCGAATGTCGGGAATATCTTGACTAAAAGTTCCTCCCGCAACCCAGAAATATTTATTTAACCGGGAAACATTTTTAACTAGAAGGTTTAACTGGTGAAAACAATCGGATGGAAAACCTTCTATTTCGTACCATTCTACAGTGGCTGAAATGCCAGTGATGGGTTTGCTAAGATGATAAATATTGTAATACTCCATCTGAAGATGTAGCATGGCCAACGTTCCAATTAAACGGTTTACATCTAGAATTATGACCTCCCTTAAAGAAAAGCTGTCCCCGTAGTTGACCTTTGTAATGTCGCGTTTGATAAACGACTTGGTATTTGTAACCCAAACAAAATATTGAGACGAGAAATGAGTCTCGATGAAGCAACTTTTTGAAACGAAACTGTAGTAAGTATACTTAAAGTTAAAGGTTGGTTCTTTTTCAGGCAGAATGGCAAAAGTTGCCCAGCAATTTAGAGATTGATTTCGCCGTCTCTGCATGGAAAACGTCTTTCCAATCAGTTTTCCAGTTACTGAAGTCTTATTGGGGGAATACGTGAGAAGCATAATTGGTAGAAAATTTCTGGATTGAAATGTTCGTACAGAAATGTTTGGCGGAGTGTAAATTATAGATATACAGTTTTCGAAGGACTTTAAGTACCCAGTAATGTCTAGCTCGTAGGACATTAGAATTTCCAACTTAATAGGTACAGTTTCCGGAATGAAACCACATATTGTGTAACTCGGGAAAAGATTCGTGGCAAGTAGCAAAATGGGCATAATTGAGGAAGAAAATTTTGAAGTTAACATTTCCGTACTATAGTATTTAAATAATATGGGCTTTTAATCTCGGGCGGTTTTCCCTAGTTGTTAACTAAATAGTCCAACAATGGTGATTGGGAAACGCCTTCCTTGCAATGAGAAAACTGGCGCATCAGTACGAAAAAAATGGAAAGTAGCCATATATGAATTTCAGCGCACAAGGTAGAGAATAAAATAAGAGTGTGTCATGATGTGTACCTTGTATACATATGTACTTAATATATACATACGTAAGTGTTATATATAATTTAGTAAACTTTTGAACGTTTTGTACTTACTTACACCATACATACATATACACACAATAACCACGTATTGTGTAAATAACTCAAATTAATGGGAACGAAAACTTAGCCACTTAAACATGTTCAATTGTCTAGCTATGTCTATAATGATAGGAAGTTATTTACACGGCATCTTAATAATATGTATCTTGTGGGTTGCGACCCACATTCACTGTGCCTTCGAATATTATGCTTTACTGAGCTTATACTTCTGAAGACATGGGCGTTTAATAAAGCAATTTCTTCTATTGTGATTTAAACATCCATCCACGTGTTGTAAAAGTATTTATGATAGCCACAACTATCTATTTAACAATACAAACTAAACGAACT